TAAGGAGTAGTATAAGAAGCTAGATCTATATATATCTAAGAGCTAATTTATTAGCTATACAGAGGGATACTATAAGGTCTATAATATATCTACTAAGAAGATGATCTAATCTTATAATATTATCTTTACTAAAGAACTACCTTTATCTAGCAAGCCAGAAGTGGCCTATAATCTTAATTAAATTAATTAATACTATAAGCAGGCTAATAATAAGATAAATTAGCTACTAGAATAGTATTATATTCTAATTAAATTCCTTAAGATAAGAAATAGTAGATTCTTAGCTCCTATATAGCCTCTAATTATAATTATTCCAGCCCTAGTACTATCTAATTCTAATTCTAATTCTACTATATCTAAGACACCTAATTAGCTAATCTAATATAAATCTATAGATATTCTTCCTAATCTCCCACCTCTCTCTTATAATAATTACAGCCTTCTGCAGCTTCCTGATACCTCTAAATATCCTATTATTAAATAATTAGCTAATTATAATCTAGAATAGCCTACTCTAGCTAATAAGAGCCTATAGATTCCTTCTCTAGGATCTTCTATAGTACTAGAGGTAGGTAGCCCTTAGATCTCTAAGGATCTTTCTTTATATTATTCTATATATATATAGAAACCTTTATATTATATACTAGAAGCTATAGAGAGCCTATTTATATACTTTAATAAGCCTTTCCTACCTTAGCTAGTTTAAATAGTAGATATATAAGTTCTCCAGGCTATTATTAATCATATTCTAGATATAGTTAATAAAGTAGAGGAATAATTACATACCTATATAGTTAAATCTACTATAGCTAATCTAGATATCTTATATAATCTATAGAGAGATGATTTCCTTCCCCTTTTATATACTAAGGCTATCACCTGTAAATATAGATCTAAATAATATTAGTCTATCTATAGGGAAGTAGTAGAGTTAATCTATAATAGTACTTTTTAGATAATTAACTAGTAAAAGGGGATAAGGCTTCTACCTCTAAAATAGATATTTAAAATTAAATAGGATAAGACCCTTAAGTCTTATCTAGTTATCCAAGGCTTCTGCTAATATAAGAGAATTAATTTTAATAAAGTTTATATAGCTATTATAAAGCCTATAAGCTTTAAGATATTTACTACCTTTACTACTAGGGATAGCTAGCTACTATAGTATATTAATATAATTATAGCCTTTCTTTATATACTACTTAAAGAATCTATCTATATATACCTTCCTAATAGAATAAAGTAAGTAGGTAAATATACCTTACTTATAAAAATACTCTATAGCCTTAAGTAATCTTCTTATAAATAGTATTAATTAATATATAACTTCCTCCTATCTATTAGCTTTAAATATATATATATAGATTATTTAGTATTTATCTAAAATAGCATTACTTTACTTATCTATATTAATAATATTCTTATTCTCTTATATTCTAAGGAACTTATTAATAGCTTCTTATCTAAACTAGGTAAGTCCTTTAAGTATATAGATAATAGAGAGGTTTTAGTCTATCTAGGAATTAATATAATTAGATAAAAGGATGGTATCTTCCTCTATTAATCTAACTATATTTAGAAGATTCTAAAATAATTTAGAATAACTAATTACCATTATACTGTAACTCCTTATAATAAGAAGGAAGTTCTCTCTAACTATAATTAAATAGCCTTATAGAAAGATATTCTTCTATATTAGGAGATAATTAGTTCACTTACCTAGCTTATACTAGGGACCTATCTAGATATTACCTAGGCTATATCTAAGCTTATATACTTTACTAGGAATCCTAGCCCTAATTACTTTATTATAGTAAAGCATATATTTTACTATCTAGTAGGGATATTATTACTTATACTATTCTATTCTACTATACTTAGTAATCTTAATAGCTTTATTAATACTAATTAGGCCAGTCCTTATACTATTAAATTAGTTTCTATATCTAGCTTATATTACTATTATCTAAACTCTTAGTCCTTAATAGGATCTATTATCATCTCCCTATATACATTCACACTAATAATTAGGGGGCTTAATCATTAAGCTATAATATAGAGTACTATACTTAGACTAAGCATATTAATATTAGATATCACTTTCTTTATTAAGAGGTAATAGCTAGCAAGTTAGAATATCTATATATATCTACTGCTAAGTAGGCTGCTAATGGCCTTACTAAGCTGCTTATAAAATATAGATTTACCTAATTTATTAAGTAACTTAGAATAATCAACCTTCCTAAGTCTATCTCACCTACCTAATTGGGAAATCAGATAAGCATATATGTTAACTCTGGCTCAGAGCAAGAGGGGTGTGAATGTTACTCTCTTGCCTATGCTTCTAAATCAAGCTTAGCACCTCATGCACCATCTTCTTCAGCCTGGCAGATAGCTTCATCTTAAATAGTTTAACAATCAAGTCATATTATCATTCCATCACGTTCTCACAGATGTCAATAGCCACCTACTTTCCTGTACGGGTATAGGCATCAGATATCAAGGGTATCAGTTCACATTACTTGATTCGGTGTCTGTCCTTGGATTTATCCGCTTTCTGCATGATTCATATTCGTCCTCTGCGGAATGTTCGGTCCCTGGAAAAAAGAAATGCCGCGCAAAGAAGCAAGCAGAAGAAGAAAGATATCTCCTAAGACCATCCAGGCAGCCGTATCCTTCAAATATCAGGAGTTGTGGCACACCACCATGTTCGGTCGGTCAAGCTCACAGGCACTGAGAGTACCACTGACTGACCACAGTACAGGTATAGGGACTTTGGCACGAGGTGGCGCCAGTCCACCCTTGACCTCCACACTGACCGTAATGGGCAACGGTTCCACCGGAGCCGCCCGACCCTCCAGAGCCACTTCCCGAACGCCCTCCCGAACCCCTCGAGCTCAGTTTGCTCTTGACAAAGGTAAGAGCTGCCTGTCCGTACTCGGTTCCGTAGCCTTGATGGGTGTTGGCATTGTTTCCGTTGCAACAGTATGGATCGGCAGCATCGCAGTACGACTGAATCTTGCTTGCAGATGGGCAGCTAAAGCCAGCAGGACGAGGGTCAAACTAGATGCGAGGAGTGGTTAGATCCAACATCACGACTCAAGGTAAGGTCTTGCTTACGCCACCCGCTTTGCAGGTGCCGACATTGTACGGCAAACCCGTAATGAAGCGAGGATCGCCCATGAAGATAGCCGCTTTGATCATGTTGACGGCCGATGCGGACAGCGGGACGGCCGTGTTGGAGTAGCCCTGGTTGGGATCTCCACCACCGCAGAGGGCGTTATCCATGATTTGACCGCCCTGCCACAGGATTAGACGTGTTTGGATGATTCAATATGGAGAAGATACCTGAGAGTATCCGACAAGGACCAGTTGAGTGTTTGGACATTTCTGGTTGAACGAGTTCACGGCGCTCGCAACAGCGTTGATTCCGGCAACCACCGAATTGCCATAGCTGACTCCGCCGCAGGAAGACTGACCCCCACAAGCAGGGTAGTTGATTGCCTCGGAGGTGGAGCCTGGGTAGGCGTCGAGGATCAGATTGACAACAGTCGAGGAGGAACCATAGCCAGGGGATGCGGTGGTTTCACGAGCACCAAAGACATGGATATTGGGACAGCTGCTCTGGCGTTCTTCAAGATCGACCGGGCCAGCCAAAGCTTGGCCCAAAAGAGCAAGAGTCACTGCTGTGAACAACATGCTTTACAAGGATATTGGGAAACGGGCAGAGAATCGGATCTGAAAGAGCTTGTGGAATCTGTTCGCCAAGCTTCTGGTATCCCGAAGATAGTCCTGATGATCTCTTTTATAGACCTGGTGCCCCCCAGGCGAGCCTCACGTTATGCGAATATACAATGCCACTTGTCTATCCTGTCGTCCGATTTCCTATTTAGAACCTGTTCCTTTGCCCCGAGAAGAGGGTTGGGATCAATTGCTTTCAAAGACGAATTGGCTCAAAAGACGCCCCAAGACCTGGGGTCGACAGTGATTTTAGCCGTGGAGCAAAAGAGCGCACGATATGTCCAGAATGCTTATAACCTGCACCCCTGCAACCGAGCTGGCCAGATACAATGAAACACTTGCATTTATGGGATAGATATTCCGGGACAGCCGTAGGATTGGTCATGTTCTAGTCCCGAGTAGTAGGTACTGCGGAGAAATGCCCTGTTCTGCCGAATTGTCTGGATTCTGCAACGCTGAAGAAACAGCCTGCGTTTCACCCTCGAGAGTGATGTAAACCAATGGAGCTTGTGTGGGGAAAATAGGCTAATATTAAAGGGACTGCTTGGTGTATCTAGCCTGAATTGAGGGTCACAGCGGCGAGGACTGGATAGCTTCAGAGTGCTGTTTTGGCATTAGGCATTAGTGTCTTGCAGATCTCTGTCTCAGCGGCTCGTATCCGCCATACGAAGAATCAAAGGGCGAGATTCTTCCATTAGATTCTTGGGTTATACTGATTCGGCGACTCGGTCCGCTCAATCTCACGAGGAGTATAATTCATTGTCTCCAGCGATTCTGGCTTTTCAAGTTATCACACCAGGTACTCTCGTCATACAACAATCGATCATGAGAGCACTACATTCTGTCTCGAAGAGAAGTGAAGAACAACCAGAGAACGAGATATCTTCTTCCTCAGTGTCAGTTCCTCGAAGCAAGACTTGCTGCCAGGTCCATTTTGAATGTTAATAATGGCTGGCCATCAGCACGTGACTGATGTATTTCCCAATAAGGAAAGCATCAGGCACCAGACCAACTAACCCGATTAGGAAATACACCTCAACGCGTCGACGCGACAGCGAGACCTTTTTGCTTTTTGTTATATGACCTCGAAGGAAGCGCACGCATGTATCTAGATAGTTTTCATCTCACTCTTCATGCAATCAATCTATCAATACTCTCACTTGTACTCTCTGCTGCTTAGTATGAGTATGCACTCAACTGTGTACAGTCCTATTCATCTCTTTGATCAGTAGATGCTATCCTTCCCGCCATTCAGGGCCATGAAGGCCAATACAATGTGAGTGTCGCACCGATCATTTTCCGCCGTGGTACCCACCTAACCAGGCATTGAACCATGGCAGCGCCTTTCATCGCAACGTCAAATCCAAGACACCAGACGAACTATCGAATCCCAACGTCTTCTGGGTTGGTGTCCTCCACGAAGACAAGACTCCCGACAATGCCGACTACGAGACAGATGTCCTGTGGATCAAATGTCGCGGCGTGAGTGAGCCACAAAATCTGCCAGCTATAGCCGACCAGATACTGACGTGCCTTCCGATCGACTGCAGCATACCAAATTCGAAGATATCAGAAAACAATACCTGTTACGAGCTTCCCACAATGAAACAATCGTGTTCCGGCACAATGGCATTATCGTGGCCTCGATGAACACTATTGCGGAACTGGACACATTTGGCGACCGTGTCATTGCTGTCGAAGCGATCAAGAATTCAGACCTGGGTTCTCGTACAACCCCAGCGCGACGGGATCCCCTTGAGCCGCTTTCCGACCTGGCCACGGCGAACAGAGGATCGGTGAAGTCGGATATGAGAATTAAGCGTGAGCCTCAAGACTGGTCCTTCAATAGCGAAAATCGAAAGCCCTCGCCCAAACCGCCCAACTCCTGTGGTATGAGCAAATTGGAATCGCCTGCACGACTCCTTGGACAGAAAGAGGCCACTCAAGAACATAATTCCCTGCCCGCAGACTCTCAGGATTACCTCACAGAGTGTGCCATGCGTGGTTTTATTCATGAGCGTCTCACAAAAGTACTCCCTAGCTGTGTAGAAGCGGGGTCATCTATCGGTGAGGGAGCTACCATTTCATAACTCAGGTACCACGCAACTTGCTGATGGCTACAGAACACCATCGGCGTGAGTTCGTTCAAGAGTGGAATATTCTGCCTCTAGACGCTCGCGAACGGTATAAAAAACGAGCCCTCTTGTTTACTCGCGCGCACAGTGCACCCACTTCTCAATTGCTGGCGGAACTGCGTGAGTTTACAAGTCACAACGCTGGGTTCTACCAGTATTTTTTCTCGTACACAGACGATTTCGATGCATATGAGAAGTATTTTGATGCAGATCTAGTGTTTGAATTGATGAAGCAAGACTGGGACAGACTGAAAAAAGGTGACCAAAACCTCTGGATCGAACTAGGACGAGTGGTACGACACACGTCTCAGACCATGCCGTATTTGTCTACAACTGCTTCCTCCTCTGCGCTCACTCAAAATACTTTGACAGCAAATCCATTGTCCCAAATCACTCCAGTCAAAGCCAGTGCGACAACAGATCGTCCTGAGCCCAAGGTTCTGCAGCAGCTCTCCCTACAGAACCTGTTTGCTGATAGCAATCCCGAGCTCCTCGAGGCTGCCGTTCAACAAGGAGTGAAGTTACTTGAAGATTTGAAAGAGCCGCTCGGTCGCGTGGCGGTTGAAGATGCTTCCCAGTGGCTCCAGGCTATAGAGAAGGTCCAAAGCCAGGCTGCGCAACCCAAGACAATTGTTGGTGTTGTCGGTAACACTGGGGCTGGAAAGTCATCCATCATCAATGCCATGCTTGACGAGGAGAGATTGGTGCCGACAAATTGTATGCGCGCATGCACGGCGGTGGTTACCGAAATTTCCTACAACACCAGCGATGATCCTTATCGGGCCGAAATCGAGTTCATCACACGGGAAGACTGGGAGAAGGAACTCCGGGTTCTTTTTCTCGATCTGTTCGATGGCAGTGGCAACGTCTCTCGCGAAGCATCCAATGAGGAAAGTGAGGCGGGTGTCGCATACGCCAAGATCAAGGCTGTATACCCTAAATTCACGAGAGAGATGTTACAGAATAGCTCAGTCGAGCAGTTGATGAGGCATCCCAATGTCCAAAATGTGCTGGGCAGCACGCGAGAAATTGCTGAGTCCGATTCCTTTCGCTTCTACAAGAAGCTCCAATTCTTCGTCGATAGCAAGGAGAAGACGACAGGCGAGAAGGATAAAGACAAGAAGCCTGCCAAAGATTTGGAATTTTGGCCTCTAATCAAGGTTGTCCGTCTTTACGTCAGAGCTGAGGCACTATCGACCGGCGCTGTCATTGTCGATTTACCTGGGGTTCACGATTCAAATGCTGCCCGCTCTGCTGTCGCCGAGGGCTACATGAAACAATGTACGGGTCTATGGATCGTGGCGCCGATTACTCGAGCAGTCGATGACAAGGCCGCCAAATCGCTGCTTGGTGACACTTTCAAGCGGCAGCTGAAGATGGATGGTGGATTCAATACCGTCACCTTCATTTGTAGCAAGACCGACGACATCAGCCTCATCGAGTGTCAAGAGTCATTAGGACTCGAGGAGGAGATGGGCGCACACTGGGCTAAATCCGATGAACTTGCCAAGGAGAGGCGAGTACTCAAGCAGCGGCTGGAGGAATTGAAAGAATCCAAAGCCGTGTATACAGCTTCCGCCGATGAGGTGGACGAAGTCCTCGAGGTCTGGGAGGCCTTGAAGGATGACATTGAGGATGGAAAGACTGTTTTTGCTCCCCGAGAGAATTCAAGCTCTAAGAAACGAAAACGAAGCTCGAGCAATGAGAAATCTGGAAGGCGAAAGAAGGCTCGAACTCCAAACAGTGATGCCGATAGCGACTATGTCGATAGTGACCAAGACAGCACCGATTCCAACAACGAGGCTGATGATGGGGAGGATCAGCCTGAAAAGTCTCGTGTTCCCCTGACTAAAGAAGAAATCACAGACAAGATATCGGAACTCAAGACGACGAAGAAGGAAAGCCGTCGCCAGAAACAAGAGCTCGAGACTCAGATCAAGGAAATTCGGAGAAAGATTTCGGACATTGACGAAGCTGACGCGAAGATTGAAGCTGAGATGAGGGCAATAGCTATCTCTGGCCGCAACGAATATTCTCGAGGTGCGATTCAGCAGGATTTCGCCGCCGGAGTCAAAGAGCTTGACCAGGAACTCGCTGAAGAAGAGGACGCTGCCAACTTCAATCCAGATGTCGATGCCCGCGATTATGATGAAGTCGCGAAATCTCTTCCTGTGTTCTGTGTTTCGTCCCGGGGCTACCAGAAGCTGCGAGGACGTTTGCGAAAAGAAGCCGATGTACCCGGGTTCCAGTCTGTTGAAGAGACCGAGGTTCCTCAACTTCAGGCTCACTGCAGGAAACTCACGGAAGTGAGCCGAGAAGCCAACTCGCGGAGATTTCTGAACAGTCTCAGTCAACTTTTGAACTCTCTGCGCTTGTGGTCCTCTCCAGACGGAGATGGCAGCCATCTCACTGACGGCGAAAAGGCCAGGCAGAATACCATGGTGCGGAACAAAATTCAGAAGCTCGAGAGTGTAAGTGCGAACGGTTCTTATCCACATTCTCTGTATGGCTCTTCTCTCTTTGATCCATCCCATTTCAATCTTATTGTAACGGTCCAATCATGCCGTTTACAGGTTGCTGACAATGACGTGACCGAGTAGGTGTTGGAAAAGCACGTCCGAAGCGTCCATCAGCAGATACGAGAAGAGTTCGACGACAACGTATTCGACGCCTGTGGTAAGTATCCTATCTGGATTGTCAGAAACCAGTTCTGACCCATTAACGTGCGAACAGAGAACGCCCTCACCCCGGCCGCGGTTGAAGCAAACAAGACTGTGCTTCGATGGGGGGCGCCAGTGGACCGTAGCGACCGCACCGCTGGAGGTTATTACTGGTCCACGTACAAGGCTATATGCCGCCGTAATGGACTCTATTCAAACGCTCAAGGGCAGCACGACTGGAACGCCGAGCTGATCGAACCTATCATTAAGGCCATCGCCTCGGGCTGGGAGAAGACATTCTCGCGGCGCATCAACTCTCTTCTCCAGGGCGCTGCATCTGATGCTGGACGCTTACTGAAATCTTTCCACGACGACATTGAGCGGGAAGCCAGCCAGAACGGTCCAGTAGCAAGTCTCCATTTGTTATCTCATCAGCTACGCAACTACCAGGCCCTTCTCAAAGATGTTTGTAACGAGAATCTGGCGACAACGGTGGCCCAGGCAAAGGAAATCAACCGCATGTTTCAGCCTGTGATTGCTACTGCTCTCGAACCTGCGTACGAAACCTGTGTTGTGGAATGCGGTATGACCACGCCGATCCGAGGCTTGGTTTGACACTAATTCTTCTCCTAGGTACTGGAAGTTTCCTGCGAATGAAAGCAGCCATGGCGGCCCATGTGGAACAGGCTCGCTGGACTATGTTCCGTGAGAGTGCGGACACGGTCAAACGAGCATTTGAAGAGATGGTCAAGGCGGTTGAGGACAAGATGCTATCGAAAACCCAGGAAATTCTGTCTTTTGTGAAACGAGATTATATGTCAGCACTTGGGGGCAGCGTCTTGGTTTCGAGCACAGTCCTGCCTTCGGGTCATCGTGTCGCGCGTGATGATGTCTTTCAGAAGATCAACACGGGGGAAGTTGCCTTCAAGCGCTTGGCGGATCCCCATTTCGGAGAAGACGATTCAAAACCCGAACAAGATGATGAGGGAAAGCCTGACGTTCCAGATCAATGCGCGTCCACAGAACCTTCAGAAGAGCCTACGGAAGACGCCAATATTGGCGCAACCGAACTTCCTGGCACTGCTGTCATTAATCTGCCTATCGAAGAGGCGTCCCAGGAAAGCTTTGTCTCGCCACTAGATGGTTAGGAAAAGGCCCCGTTATGATTGACTCATGATCCAGTCTTGCTGACGTACATAAGATTTGTTCAGATACGGCTCCCCTTGAGAAGACCTCTTTCTTTCCAAAAGCACAGAAATATGTAAATGATGTACAAAAAAATTGCATAATTGCATGACATGCTTTTCGAGTTCATCAAAACCCACTACTTCCATGTGCATTTGTCGACCGGCATCGTCCTTGTTTTCGGCCGGATTTACTGTACATATCTCATTCCAAGGGAATAAAGATTATTTGGGGCTGGCTTTGGAACACGTTTGTAGATACGTATATTCTACGGATTAATGTACAATATTTCCTAATTTAGTCCACTTGGGTGCTCCATGGATTATACTTACGGAACGGCTGGAATGGCTCGACATTATCCAACAGCTACGACAATTCCCCACGTTTCGCCATCTTGTTCCTCAGGCAATGCGACGAGATATATCCACTAACACGCCGACACATAGACGGAGAGCAAGTCGCTCTTGATCTCCTCCAGATGCTGAGCGATGAAACTATGGTCATGAAGGACATGCAGGCTGTCTCTTCCGCCCCAGAGGCAACAGCCAAAGATACCATCGCCATCAACCGGTAGAACCGGATGTGTGGACCGAAAGAAATCGCACCATGGATTTCAAACCCATCGTGAATCGGAATAGCTGTCAGCGCCTCGGTCAGCTGCAGTCTCAGACCATCTTTGCCCCTGCGCGAGGGCGGTCCCGGTGCTTGTCTCGGAGAGCTTCTGCAGTGATGGAAGAGGAACTGGGAGAAGCTAGTCCCAGAAATTCTTTGTGGCCTCCCACCCACAATCATACTCCTCCAAAGTGCAATTCAAGCAATGCAGCTGGACGTGCTACAATACCTCCTCACCCGGCTATTACCATACGAAGAAGATGAAGGCAACGATGAAAACGGAAAAAGAACCAATTAGGGGCGTTGGACCGAGCAGTCATCCTCGAAACACTCGCCTTCGAAAGAGTCCCCGCGTTTGAGCTGCTCTGCCGCCACGATCCATCGCTTCGAACCATGCAACTAGGCCACCTGGGAGCTCCACTGGCATGGGCCATCCTGGGTGATAATCTTCGGCTCGCCTCGTTTCTACTCGCCAACGGAGTTGACCCCAATGAATGCCAGATCAATTATCGCCGCGCAGTAGTGGCAGCGGCGGGTAACGGATCTTGTGCCATGATGGAGCTCCTATTGGATCATGGAGAGTCATCGAAGGAACCGATGCCCTTTTTGCTGCTGTGCGCCATCAACGTATCGATATGCTGACCCTCCTAGTGGAAAGAAGGAGAGTGGCAAATATTAACGCGATTCAACCCGCAGACCGTGAGAGGGACCTGACTCCGGGACCAGTTCTCCATTTGGCTATCCGAAGGAAACACCGGCGGATGGTTCGCGTGTTGATTGAGAGATTTCACGCCGATCCCGTGGCATAGGATTTAGAGGGTAAAACTGTGGTTACATGGGCTGTGGATGTTAAAGATCGGGAGGGCATTCATATACCGCTCGCTGCCGACATGGGAAGGAGGTAAGATTACACGGTGACCCAGCACACCATCCTTACCCTCTTTGGAGTCTGCGTCATCAACATCCATAGCATCAGCAAGGCCGTCATACAGGTCTGCGCGGATCTGGACCTGGTGGTGGATGAACGAAGCTAGGCGTGCCTGCTCAACTGTTGCACCCGCATCAACTAAGAATTGCCGATACGGGCGTGTCGCGTGATGGGCTGTATTGAAAGATCTGTTTGGGCGAATATATGGAAGGCATGTCACATACGGAGAGTGAGACGACCTGCCTCTGCCTGAGTGTTATCAACATGCTCCGCATCTGGTACAGGCGGCTCCTCAATCGCATCATCGCCGGCCCCCAGGGAAAGATACGAGGGACTGCAGTGCCTCAATTGGCTCTTAGCAAAATATCGGACTCCTTTCCGTTCTCCATGCCAAAAAGTATTCAGGCTAAATAGCTGAATTCCTGTAGATCCTCTCGAGTTCCCCGCATGTTGACCGTTTCTCCACCAATCTGGGGCAAGGACCTGGGTCGAGGTTCCCCAATTGATTACGGACTTGTCCCCGGATGAGATCTATAGCATGATATGAGATCGAAAATCCATGATGTGATGGGGGAATCGGTGGGATTCCGTTTCCTTCTAATGGATCTTCCCGCCACCAGCCGGAGCACGCTGCAGGGCGTACAGAGCGTATATAATTATGCGGTAGAGTTACTGCAGGGGCGATGTAGGTTCTTTGGCGGAATAAACCAGAAGAAAATACATTTCTGGTGCGAAGCGCAGGATGAAGCTCCTTTTCAGGAGACTGGTCGCATTGACTGTCGCTTCTTTGGTAGTAGCTGCACCATCCGTCAGCCACCTTTCATTGCAAGATGCTGCTAATAAGCGTGACCTTCTCCAAGACCTAGTGACATGGGACCAGCACTCTTTGTTCGTCCGGGGCGAGCGCCTCATGATCTTTTCGGGAGAGTTTCACCCCTTTCGACTGCCAGTTCCTGGACTCTGGCTTGATGTGTTTCAGAAGATCAAGAGTCTGGGATTCAATGCTGTCTCCTTCTACACCGACTGGGGTCTCATGGAGGGTAATCCTGGCCACGTTGTCACGGACGGGATCTGGAGCCTTGAGGAGTTCTTCACTGCTGCGAGTGAAGCTGGTATCTATCTGATAGCCCGGCCTGGACCGTATATCAATGCAGAAACCTCGGCTGGTGGTATTCCCGGATGGGTCCTTCGTCTAAAGGGCATCATTCGTTCAAACAGCGAGGATTACCTCCATGCGACAGATACGTACATGGCCACTCTAGGGAAGATAATTGCCAAGGCACAAATTACCAATGGAGGGCCGGTGATCTTGGTTCAGTCAGAAAATGAGTACACGACTTGGCCCAACGTATCAGAGTCCGAGTTTCCGACAACAATGAATAAGGAGGTCATGGCCTATGCCGAGAGGCAGCTTCGAGACGCTGGAGTAGTTGTTCCATCGGTTGTCAATGACAATAAGAACTTAGGATACTTTGCCCCTGGGACTGGATTGGGCGAGACGGATATCTACGGGATTGACGCTTATCCTATGAGATATGACTGTGAGACCATTACTTTCAAAAGCAGATAACTAGATCTAATGCAGAATCAGGTGGTAACCCTTATGTATGGCCAACATATCGATTTCCGCGAGATTGGCAGCAGACACACCGCAATCACAGTCCTACGACACCATTTGCTATTATGGAATTCCAAGGGGGTTCAGGAGGAGGATGGTAAGAAATGCAATGGATACTTCTCTGTTCAATGCACTAAGACATAATCATCAGGGGAGGAGTCACAGAAGACGGATGTGCCATTCTCGTGAACAATGAAGCTGTGCGAGTGGTGTACAAGAACAATTACGGCTTCGGCGTCACCGTTATCAACATCTACATGGTGCGATATCCTCTTTCCTGCACCTTACTCCCGTTCCTAGCTGACTGTCGTAGACGTACGGAGGCACCAACTGGGGCAATCTCGGCTACCACGGAGGATACACCTCGTATGACTACGGGGCTGCCATTACCGAGGATCGTCAGATCTGGCGAGAAAAGTACAGCGAAGAGAAGTTGCAGGCCAACTTCCTGAAAGTGTCTCCCGCGTACCTCACCGCAACGCCTGGAAACGGGGTTAATGGATCATACACAGGGAACAAGGATATAGCAGTCACTCCACTGTTTGGCAATGGAACGACCGCCAATTTCTATCTAGTCCGACATGCCGACTTTGCTTCAACTGGAAATGTCCAATACCGACTCCACGTTTCGACAAGCGTTGGAAATGTGACAATTCCTCAACTGGGAGGCAGTCTGTCCTTGAACGGCAGGGACTCCAAATTCCACGTCACTGACTATGACGTGGGCGGATTCAATCTCATCTACTCTTCCGCAGAGGTCTTCACCTGGGCTAAGGGACTCAACAAGGAGCCCGTGCTCGTTCTGTATGGAGGAGCAGAAGAACTTCATGAACTCGCTCTGCCAACCCATCTTCCCCGACCAACCGTTGTTGATGGGTCCCAAGTCAAGATTGCCAGAAAGGGAAGCGCTTGGGTTGTACAGTGGCAGGTTACTGCTCAAAGACGGGTTTTGCGCGTAGGAAAGCTTGAGGTTCACCTCCTCTGGCGTAACGACGCCTATCAGCACTGGGTCTTGGAACTGCCAGCAACGCAACCAATTGCCAACTATAGTTCGCCATCCAAGGAGACGGTGATTGTGAAGGGAGGATATTTGCTTCGCAGCGCATCAATTGCCGACAACAAACTGCATCTGACGGGTGACGTAAACGCAACAACTTCCTTGGAGGTAATTTCAGCACCGAAGCAACTCGATGGGATTGTTTTCAACGGCCAGTCCTTGAAATCAACTCGGTCTAAGATTGGCAATCTCGCTGCAACGGTTCATTATCAACCACCGGCTATCTCCCTGCCAGACCTGAAGCGTCTCGACTGGAAATACCTCGACTCTCTTCCCGAAATCTCCCCCGGGTATAGTGATGAGAGTTGGACGCCGCTGATAAACACATACACGAATAACACGCGCAACTTCGCCGGCCCTGCATGTTTGTACGCTGACGACTACGGCTATCACGGGGGCTCACTGATCTACCGGGGCCATTTCAAGGCCAACGGAGACGAGTCTTGGGTATTTCTCAACACGTCTGGCGGCGTGGGCTTCGCCAATTCGGTCTGGCTAAATCAAACCTTCCTGGGATCATGGACAGGTAGTGGAAATAACATGACCTATCCCAGAAACATCTCTCTCCCCGACGCGCTATCTCCCGGAGAATCATACGTTCTGACTGTAGTGATCGACCACGTGGGCCAGGACGAAGAGGCACCGGGGACAGACGCAATCAAGTTCCCTCGAGGAATTCTCGACTACGAGCTCTATGAGCTGTCCGATCTTGCGTGGAAGATGACTGGCAATCTCGGCGGCGAGCAGTACCAGGACCTGACGCGAGGCCCGCTCAACGAGGGAGCCATGTATGCCGAGCGCCAGGGATATCATCTTCCAAACCCGCCTACCTCCGCGTGGAAGTCATCCAGCCCGATCAATGATGGGCTCACTAACACCGGCATTGGATTCTATGCTACTTCGTTCTCCTTGGATCTACCCGAGGGATACGATATCCCGTTGAGCTTCGTCTTCAACACCTTGGCATCAGATGCAAGGTCAGGGACCAGCTATCGCTGTCAGCTGTTTGTCAATGGATACCAGTTTGGGAAATACGGTACGATAAGAAGAAGAATAAAATTCGTCCTAGGTTCTAACTGGATGCAGTCAATGATCTCGGCCCGCAAACCAACTTCCCCGTTCCAGAGGGCATTCTCAACTACAACGGGGTCAACTATGTCGCCTTAACACTTTGGGCGCTCGAGTCCCAAGGGGCTTTGGTCGGTGGTCTGGAGCTTGTCGCCTCTACTCCTTTCCTGTCTGGATATAGCAAGCCGGCCCCGGCACCTCAACCTGGTTGGGAGCCTCGGCGGGGCGCCTATTGATGTCGATGAACGTAAGACTAGAGAGTAACTATAGTTGGGCAAGAATAGATGATGCAGCGTGGAAAGTCGAGGGGCCTAAAACACAAATGCCAGATAGTCATTGAGAGATAAGAGGTCATAACAATTTGATATTCGTCATGGCTGCATATAAATTACCTCATCTTCAACATAGTAGGCTCAGTAAGAAAGATCGCCGTGATGCTGGTGGCTCAACACTTCTTCCGCGGATAATCCCAGGTCCAATTGCGAATATAATCTGGATCGATGCCATCGTCAAACGCCTTGTTCCTTGCGGCCAGCTGGAGATTGATCAAACGCTCCCGCACCCCCGAGGCGGTATTGCCAAGGGACGGGATACGATCGATAGCGTCGATCGCTAGGCTGTACCGGTCGGTTTGATTGCGTACCGCGAGCTCAAACGGCGTATCAATGTTGCCCTTCTCCTTGTAGCCCCGCACGTGCAGGTTGTGCTGACCCGGCCGCTTGTACGTGAGACGGTGGATGAGCCAGGGGTACGAGTGGAAGTTGAAGATGATAGGTTTGTTGGTGGTGAAGATGGCTCCCCATTTGCGGTCGGACATACCGTGCGGATGATTGGTGTCGGAGATGAGCCGGAACAGGTCAACGACGTTGACAAAGCGGACCTTGAGCTGGGGTAGGTGCTGGCGCAGCAGAGCCGTCGCGGCCAGCGCTTCGTGCGTAGAGACATCGCCGCAAGATGCCATGACCACATCGGGCTCACAGCCCTGGTCGTTGCTAGCCCAGTCCCAGATGCCGACCCCCTTGGTACAGTGCTCAATCGCCTCCTCCATGTTGAGAAACTGCACGTGCTCCTGCTTGTCAGCTACGATGACATTGACATAGTTGACGCTGCGGAAGCAGTGGTCCATCGTCGACAGGAGGGTGTTGCCGTCGGGAGGGAGGTAGATCCGCACCACATCGGGGCTCTTGTTAGCCACCACATCCAGGAATCCGGGGTCCTGGTGCGTGAATCCGTTATGATCTTGACGCCACACGGTCGCGGTCAGGAGGATGTTGAGCGAGGAAACCTTGGCGCGCCATTCAACTGCGAGGCACTTTTCAATCCACTTACAGTGTTGGTTGACCATGGAGTCGATCACATGGATAAACGGCTCGTAGCTGTTAAGCATCCCGTGTCGACCAGACAAGATGTAGCCCTCTAGCCATCCTTCGCAGGTGTGCTCGCTGAGAATCTCCATCACACGGCCCTGCATGGCCAGGTTGCCGCCGTCCTCATCTTCTTTGAAGTACTCGGCCATCCACACCTTCTTACCCGCCTTGTAGATCTCGGCGAGTTTGTTGGATTCGGTCTCATCGGGACCAAAGACGCGAAAGGTGGTCATGTTCTTGGCCACCACGTCACGCAGATACTTCGACATATTAGACATGCTTGGACGGATGGTGACGCCTGGCTCGATGTCGGTCAGGGCGTAGTCGCGGAAGTCAGGCAGATCCATCGGTCGTCGCAGGAGACCACCGTTGCCGACCGGATTGGCGCTCATGCGTGAGTTGCCTGTCGGGGCCAGCTCCTTCAATTCGCGGATCAGTGTACCGTCCTTGTCGAAGACCTCCTCTGGCTTGTACGCCTTCATCCAGTTTTCCAAGACCTTCAAGTGATCCGGCTTGCTCTGCACATCGGTGATAGGGATCTGGTGAGCACGCCAAAAGCCCTCGAGGAACCTGCCGTCAATTTCTCTGGGCGCTGACCATCCCTTGGGCGACCGAAGGACGATCATAGGCCAGAGGGGGCGGAAGGCCTTATTGGACTCGCGCGCCTGTTTCTGGATCTTCTTGATTTCCAGGACACAATGCTCGAGGGTAGCCGCCATGGCCTGGTGCATGCTCTCACGGTCGCTTCCTTCGACAAAGTACGGTGTCCATCCGTATCCCTTGAGGAGCATTTCTAACTCCTCGTGACTAATTCGGGCCAGAATGGTGGGATTGTTGATCTTGTAACCGTTCAGATGGAGAACGGGAAGAACTGCCCCGTCGGTGATCGGGTTGAGAAACTTGTTGCTGTGCCAGCTGGTGGCCAGAGGGCCAGTCTCGGACTCACCATCACCCACCATGGTCAAAGTGATGAGATTCGGGTGATCAAAGACGGTTCCAAAAGCATGAGAGATCGAGTATCCCAGCTCACCTCCTTCGTGAATACTTCCGGGGGTCTCTGGAGTTGCATGGCTGCCGATTCCGCCGGGGAAGGAGAACTGCTTGAAGAATCGCTGCATGCCCTTTTCATCCTGCGTCTTGTCCGGATAGACCTCGGTGTATACACCCTCGAGATATGACTGCGAGAGAATGCCAGGAGCACCATGTCCGGGGCCAGAGATGAACAATACATCCAAGCCATATTTCTTGATCAAGCGGTTCATATGGATCCATGTGAAGGATTGACCAGCGTCGGAACCCCAGTGGCCCAGTAATCGAGCCTTGAGATGTTCCACCTTGAGAGGATCTTTAAGAAGAGGATTGTCACGCAGATAAAGCATGCCGAGACAAAGATACATACTTGCACGGAAATAGGCATCTGTCTTACGGAGTTCATCCTCGCGCAAGGGCGTCCCTTGGATGGTGGACCGAGCGACTCCATACGCGGAGAGGCTCTCGATTTCACCTTTTGACGTCATTCTGGGTATTGCCGTCAAGCAATTGGGTTCAATTCATCAACGGTCTTGTCTCCTCAAGCGTAATTAAAAGTAAGGATGGGAGTAGAATGAGGATATATAGAGGTGGAAGAGACCGAGGGGAATAGGGGGAACACTAGGGGAGAAAAACCGGTTCGGTTATATATAGAGACAGCGAATTGAGATATATGGCCTGACAACGATTGATGACCCCAGGATCTCCTGGTGGTGCGCTCATGCTGACCGGATGGAGGACGTTGACAAGGAAGTTGGATGACGTAGAATGCTCCGAAGAATCCGTCACCGGGTCTCGAGGCGCTGAGCTCGGGTTCGAAGGCTCGATTGGATGAACCATGATGGGTGTCATGATGTTTTGAGTTGGGAATATGAATTGCGATGATATCCTTTTTAACAGCCACAAATAATCTGATGATCCTGGATGCGCCCGTGTGTAGAGAGCAGCTATCAGGAGATTATCGCGATGATCATGGGCCCATACGCTGCACTTCTCGCGTCTGATTGGGCCAATTTCGATAAGATCACGTGTTGTTCATGCCTTGGAAATTCGGCTTGCAATATCCTGATTCCTGAGGCAGCCATATACAAAGTACCGTGTCTCAATCAGGGAACTGATGTCTAGATTCCTTGTATTATCGACCATAGATTAAAGGACACAGCAAGGACCCATGTATGGCTTCCTGCCCAGAGCCAAAGACATGTTCCAAGTACGGCTGATGTAGATCAAATGCTTGGCCCTCGTCTCGATCATTCTACCTCCGATGCGTCCAGATTGAACAATGATCAGAACAGAATGACGGCTGCTAGTGAAGAATGCCCCGAGTAATTCTACCGAAGCTTTTGCCCCTGTAGACAGTGAAGCTTAGCGCCCCGGCTAATTCCGCTACAATTGCGATATTGAGTATTGCGAGGTCGCACGCCCATATGACACGACGTAGTATGCTCCACCACTCACTCAGACACTATTGTTAGCCATGATGACTGGTTCGAGGCCATATATAAACTCTGGAACGGAACCCGGCACTCGTCTGACAAAGACACTATTCCACTGTGGAGCGTGGAGAAGAGACCCTGGTGCTACATTGTGCCAGTAGGAGACACAGGATAGCGTTAACGCTTGTCTTCCACGTCTTTTCTGCTTCCTGGTCTGCTGAACCGGCTGTCCATCCTTCTCTTATTTCGGCAGCTTCAATGTGAATCACGATAGTCGTTGTCTCTCGTCATGAGCATATCAAGTTGCACAGCTTCTCTTGAGCCTATCTCCAATCCGGTCCCGTTCTGGGTTAATCGTCACTTCATGATAAGGAGAGAGTGATCACCAGATGGTTTGAGGATGGCAGTACCAACGGAGAGCAAGCCATCTACTCGGCAGAGATTGTTTATTAGTGATACCATTAGATAAAGGGGTAACATCAAGAGAGGTCATGATTTTTGTGTAAATAGCCATGAAAGGCAGGAATCCAAATTCTGTAGGTGTAAACTCTTTGACTGATGCATCTCGGCTGGGAGATGCAGGTTCAGGACTTGATCCTCCCGCAAAGCACAACGTCCTCTCCGAAAGGATACCATTTGACGTCGGTTAATCGCGACGCGGGAATGGCCACGCCTTGCTCGTTGAATCGTCGCTTAGGCGAAACGACCACTCCTCCTTGTCCGAGCCAGGTTGGAGCGATCGTGACAATGACCGAGTCAATGAGATGTTGATAGGAAGGCTCCAGGAGAGAATTGATGATGGTCCCTCCTCCCTCAATCAGGACACTCTTCAGTCCTTCTTTGCTGAGGGCCTTGAGCAGAGTGATCCAGTCCATGCGATGCTCCCCTGTTTCAGAGGTCATCACATCGAGAGAGATGAACTTGCCGCCGTGTCTCTCCAACAGAGTTTTCTTCTCTGCCGGGACGGACTGCGACCCTGTGATGATAAAGGGCGCTCGACCCCGACCCTCCCGGGCCAGTGCCAGAATCTTGGAGCTCTCTGTAAAGTCCCATCGGGCGATGGGGTCGATGACGATCGGTCGGGGTTGTCCTTCTAGACCTTGACCCCCGTAGCCGCCGACGCCGGCGATGCGGCAGTTCAATCCAGGGTCATCTGCAACCGCAGTGCCAACCCCGATGAGGATAGAATCATGACGCGACCGGAGATAGTGGGTCATCGCTTTCGATTGCGGCCCTGAAAGTACGGTTTTTGCGCCTGGTGACAGGGCCAGAGCAGAGTCGAGGGAAGTAGCAAAAGTGAGCGTGGTGAAGGGGAGATCAGAATCTGGGGATTGTGGAAATTTAATTTTTGGCGGAAGATGGGGCTCTAAGAATACCCGACTTGAATCAGGGAACGAGAGAGCATCGCTGGATTGATTGTTCGACATTCTGGAGATATTTTGACACGATTGTTGATGTTTTCAGAGATGAGAAACGCAGGGAGAGCAGTAATAAAGACAGTGGAGATGCGAATCAAACAAATTGGTGCCTTGTTGCTCAGGCAGAGATTCCACAAGCGCTCGCGTCAAGAACCAAAGTGATCGATCCTCTGAAACTCATCCATTCTGCGCTTCATTTACGCGTTAAAGACTAGAAATACAAAGACAAAGAGATTCTATCTACTGCTTCTCTCCCTCTGGAACCAACTCCTCAAATCGTCTCAAATCCATGGGCTTCTCCAACAGCGGGATGACATAGGGATCAAAGGTCTTCCAGTACGGGTTCTCCAGATGGTACTTCTGGGAGCCCTCGTTCAGATAGCGCTCCACGATGCAAAAGTCCTGCTTGTCATGGACCGACTGCATCACGAACCAGGACAGAGTCTCCTTGTCCTTGGAGTATACGGCCGAGGCCTCGAGGAGCTTTGCATGCAGTTTCGAGATGCACTCGGGATCCGGCTTTGCGCGGAGATCTGCAAAGATGAGTTTGAGCTCGGCGGGATTGATTATGGAGAGTATAACATACGGACGACGATAGTGTACACCATGTTGGGTAGACGGGATCAGGACGTGGATGGGTTGTTCGACTGATCACCCCAGGATCTTTGTGTTGTTTTATAAGTGGTGGTGGGGCAGGACTACTACAAGCGCGTCGGTGAAGCTTAAGTGGAGCGGTGAGATCAGTTCAGTTCGACACTCGGATGGAGTCCGATGCAGCTATATTGTTGGAAATTGTCGACTCTATGTGGGAAAAGTAATACAAGAAATGATAACACAACGGGAATGAGCCCCGAATATGACAGAATGTGCGAATCCAAACCCTCACCAAATCACGCCGGACAACAGACACACAAGCAACTGTTGTCTCCAAAAAAGATAATGAGCAAGAAAGTATCCCAGAGATTCAAGACTTGATCAACCACCCAACGGATCCCCCGACGGCAACCACGATGATCACGGTGAGAATCCATGCCCCCGCGCGATCGCCTGTGTTGATGGGATGCAGCGCATTCGGCGTTTCATCCTCATGGGTGTCAATTTGATGCTCCTTGCCGTCCGGGTTCGAGTCAATGGTGTTCGGGGCGGTCGACTTGTAGTACATCAGATTGGCCGTGATGCCCGCCAGGGCAGCCATCTGCGTCTCCAGACCGGGAGTAAGGCCGTCCCAGGTGGGCTCCCACCAGCGAAGGCCGCAGGTATTGTCGGGCGCCTTGGAGCACTGTTTGGAGATGGCCAGAGCGGATCCCTGAAGGACGGGCAAGATCCGGGCCGCCGTCGAGGGGACGAGGATGGCGGTATGAGCCAGCCACATGGCCGTGTACCCTTTAAAGCCGATTTGATTACGATCGCAGGTCATGATGGGCTCACAGGCAACCTCGGACAAGACGTTGCCGCCCTTGTCCTTGGGGCAGAAGGTGCCGATAAGAGACTCCAACAGGCCGTTGACTCTTTGCAGCCACTTGTCGTCACCGTTGGTCTTTTTCGCCATCAGAAAATCAGCGTGCCGGTCGAGCAAGTCTTACTTGACATGGGGGGGGTTGACTTACGTAGTTGTACATGAACGAGGCCCCCGACAGGTAGGTGCCGTAGTTGTACGACCACTGGGTGTTTCCGGCATCCTTGCAGTTGGCTTCGTTGGAGGTGGAATCGGCAATGTACCAGCGATCCGTCTGCATCAGTGGAGTGCTGGCCGACCAATCCCAGATCTTGTCGGCCCATTGCGCATAGGTGTCGTTCCTGGTGAAGCGCGCGAGTCGGGCCGACAGTTCAAAGAGACCACCGTTGGAGATGGCATTCTTCATGGTGTAACCGGCCTGATAGGGCCAGATCTGCCACCGCATGCCGCCATCGCAGGCCACCTTATCCCACCGGGCCGCTTGCATGTTGAAGACGACCCGAGCCAGAGAGGTCCAGGTGGGTTTGCCTGAGATCTCCGGGAATCCCGTCTCCGAAGCTGTGATGGAGGCGAGACCCCAGAACATCTGATCATCATTACCCTGGGAGATGTTAGCATAAGCAGAGCCTAAAAAACTGTTGCGACTTACCAGCCATTGGCTGTAGTTGCCCGAGAAGAAGTCATAATTCTCGCCCGACTGGAACATCAGGTCATGTGACACGACGGAATTGTAGGTGTCATCGCTCGAGGCCTGCCAGTACTGGATGAGGGTCATGAACATGGCGCCGGCCACGTACCAGGTGCCGGTCAGCTTTCCTGGGATGCCTTCGGTCTGGTTCTTGTCATAAAACTCCATCATGGGAGCAGCGACGGTTTTGGCCGCCGACTTGAGTGAATCTGATCATCATAGCATGTGTTACAAGGTGTACTTCTAAAGACGTCAAAGATGAGGTTTTTTGGAAGACATACCAACATTCTGGGCCTGGATCCCGAGATCTGCTAGGGCCACCTGCCCGGAGAGGAGCAAAGTGGTGGCCCCGCAGAGTTGGCGCAAACTCAGCATGCGCATCCCGAAAGCGATGGCTGACTGATGGAAGGAGGAGAAACGGGGAGAGGCTCAAAGAAATGGGAAGGGAAGGTAACCAAGGGGATGGCAGAAATCAGGTTGGACGAATCACCAGGACCATCATACCAAAACAGAATGATCTGGCTCTGATAGACAGGAACAACAATAACTACGTATCTTAGGGGTGGGAAGTGAGAGCCAGGCAGTTGAGGCAGTGTGGTCTGGGAAAAACTAATCATAAAATCAATCATAGGTAATAATAATACCTCCTCATTATTATTATTTTTTAAGGGGGCAAGGCAGTGCTGACTGACTGCCAAGGGTGCCAATGCCACTGTGACCACGACAGATGCCAGCATCATCCGATCATTGGGTCATTGCATTTTTAGACCAATATTATTCAGTCATGAAACTCTGGATCCACCACTGAGACAAAAGCGGCCAAGACTCGGGTGTCTCAGGGACACTTTTGAGCCAATGGGAACTCACTGTGGCCATCAGGGTCTCCCCACTTGGCTCAATCAGGGCGCGGGATATTGTCTCCTGCCAAGAGAAAGGCCCACTTGTGATTAACAATCTGGTTGCCTAATGCCAAAACAGGTTAGCATTCCCTTACCGCGCCAGGAATAGTTTACAGATAGAGAAAAGAGATCCCTTTTTGGATGGAGTCAGTTCAAGGTCAGTATTGCCATCTCACATTTCTGCACAAGGTTTGATGTCTCATTTGATCCTTGAGAAAGGTACATATCAAGTTGTAGTCTAAGTGTTGAGATGGATGTTGACCTTGAGAATCATCATTTGGAATGTTCTTCTTTACTTCATTGGTTGTATTGCTGCCTATATCCACTGTGCTGTGCTGCACAGATATATTCCTGCAGTGTCATTGTCAGAGTTGTGCTATGCTGCCCCTGACGACTAAATCAATTGCAGACTTCGAAGCATGTGTATATAGGATGATGTATCGTCATAGGGCTACTCCCATATTCTAGTTGTTGCTTCGACCGTCTTTGATAGCAGCTTGACGGTCATTAATCAGCAATGCAAATTTTCTCTTCAAAACTCTTGAAGAAATAAGGTACCTTAAAAATTGGCTTGCTTCGACTTGCCTAATTGAGACTTGTCTGGGGAAAAGTTCAACCAGCAATTTCTAATAATCCGGAGAGTTTTGATCCAAGACGTCACCCCTCGGCGGAATTACTAATGGATGTCGGCCGCTCTAACTCAGCGACAGAATATAAAATGGTTGTCATGAAGCAGACAAAAAAGACAAATTAGCAATTAGACTCGTCTAATCTGCTGGTAGTCATGGCGTCTCCCACTACAGCAAAGAGCGTTCTTATTGTTGGTGCGACCGGATACATGTGAGTGGCGTCAACCTAAGCGGACCAATCGCAGTATAGCTCTGACACTATGCAGTGGAGGCTCAATCCTTACCGAACTCTTGCAATCCGCCGAGGCGTCTGAATTGACCATCTCAGCCTTGATCCGTCGACCAGAACAGGCGGCCCGACTCCAGTCTCTCGGAGTCAAGCCTCTGAAATTCAATGGCCTGGACGACCTTGACGCATGTAGAGAGGCGGCTTCCCAGCATGATGGTATTGACTCGTTCTATACTGATGCTTTGACTTGCACTCACACATCGCTCTAGTGGTAATCAATGCCGCATCTGCCTCCCACGATAGCTCAGCCAAGGCCTTGATAGAAGGGTTGAGCCAGAGGCAGAAAGCTACTGGCAAAGATACGTACATGATCCATGTAGGTTTTCTCCTTGCGAATCCATTGTGTCAAAAATTGCAACGCTGACGACATGTAGACCTCTGGCACGTCAATCCTGGGAGACCATCCCTACACCGGTACGCCCCAGAATCAGAAAATCTGGTCGGACGAGAAGGACGACGTCTACGCCATGGAGAAGAACCATCCCGAGCGCTACGGGCAACGGGTCACCGATGTCGCGGTTGTCGAGACAGGATTGAGTCTTGGTGTCAAGACGTATATCGTCGTTCCTCCCACTATCTGTATGCTCTTCATCCCGGTAAATGCGTACCAAGCCGAATTGATGCTGACAAACCGTAGATGGCAAAGGATCCGGTCCATTTGCGACACTAAGTCAACAGGTGCCCAATCTTGCGCGCCTTGCCCGCAAACGAGGCCGTGCTGCCGTCATTGAGAGTGGAGCTGGTGTAGGTTTGATATGCAGTATATGGTAGATTCTGGCTGACATTTCTCGTCATAGATCTGGAATCATGTCCACATCCTGGATCTGGCAAACTTCTATCTCCTCCTCTTCCGGGCTGTGCGAGAACAACCTGACTGGCTTCCATCGGGCCCCAGGGCCGTCTTCTTCGTCGAGAGTGGAGAGCATACATGGCTACAGGTTAGCCAGGGTATTGCTGACGCTCTGCACAAGCAGGGACTATTAGACAATAACAAAGTCGAGTCGATCAGTATGAAGGAAGCAGCAGCAGAAATCACTGGGGGCAATGAGAGTCTCGTGGAAATCACTCTTGCGTCCAAGTATGTACCACAAGCAAGACCTAGCTAACACATAACATTACTAATGCGGATATAGTTCCCGGGCGAGAGCCGATTTTGCTCGCATTCGGCTGGGGTGGAAGACATCCAGGGGCGATGAAGATTTTCTGAATCACTTCGATGGGGAGATTGAAGCCATGAGAGAAGAGCTACAGGCGTCTAAGTAGTGATCGGATTGTCTACAACAATTCGTTTCTGCTCCCCCTGACCTGGCTGGATAATGAAGCCTTGTTCCCACGATGGCAACCAGGCATAATAGTGTATACCAAGGTAGTGCATGTCTTTCACTGTTCAAAAGATTTGATCACTCATTCCTTAAAGATCCAGAAATGAAGCTGGTTTAAACATAGTGACCCAATTCCAAAGACAGGTTTTCAGGAACAGAGATGTAAGCACAAACACATTCCATAGTTATCGCCTCTTGATTCTTAAAAACTCTCGCAACCATCTCGCCATTCAACAATCAGTCTCAGTGCAGTAATCTAGTAGACAGTGATGGAAGAAGATCCGCTGCTCTGATAACCCTCAGTGGCGACAATCTGGTAGTTGTGAGTTCCAAGGTTCATGCCCAGCCTGCTCCAGGCGTTGAAATGGCTGGCCATGGTGACAGTGCCTCCGGTACGCTTGGAGGTCCGCACCGACCAGTACTGGGTGAAAGTCTTGGTGCCTTCGATGGAGGGGGCATTGTAGCGAACGGCCGTGTAGATGTTGTAAGTGCCACCATCGGTGGTGACACTGCCCTTGTAGGTTGCGCCGCTGCTGGGGTTGTATGTGCCATACGACTCCACAACATAATACTCAATCAGAGGGTTGGTGGTCCAGCCGTAGACGGACAGGTAGCCATTGCCGCTGGGGTTGAAGCTGCCTCCGTAGTTGATGGTTCTATTTTCTATCAGCCATAGGTCTTCAAATCAGAGGTTGACGACGCTCTATACCTAGCGCTTCCAGGGTTCCAGCCCTTTCCACCGACAAAGTTGCCCACGTTTTTCCAGTTGACCGAGTACGAGCCACCGGCCCCATTGGTGTAGGTCACATCACCGCCGCCATCGGTCCAGAAGGAGTAGTAGTAACCATTGCTCCATCCGGTTGAGCTTGGGGTGGAGCGTTCAGCGAACTCATGGAGAGCAGTCTCGTTGAACGTGGTGCCCTCGGATTCGACGGGGGCAGCCAGAGCTCCAATGGCGGAGCACGCCAGCAGTAGGTACGAGAAAGAAACCATGATGTTCAACGGGGATCGGCGTTTGACTGCAGATATGATTGTCAGAGGGAGTATTTGGTGGAGTCCATACTCGAGGATGTCTCTGCTCTTTATACCTTTGCATCACCGGCAGAAGAGGAGTGAGCTAATACCGGCCAACCCCACATCGCGACATCCTGACACTGACGCTACTCTAGCGGCTATATTGGGATTATAGTGTTTGGGCCCTGATCGACTTTGTCACGCCCATCAGGGATGCGGCAGTTAATTCGGGGCACCCGCTGCGGAGCATGTGGTCCAGAGTCCACAATTCTGCAAGCAAATCCGGCTGAATTGGAAGATACATGATCATGAGGTTGGATATGCCACTGCAGAATGACAACAGGCTGAAGCTTTCGGCTGAGGAGGGGAAGGCAGGAGGGGTTGCGTTCGGATAAATGCCATTTTGAAGCCATTTACGAAGGAGCACTAGCAGGCATTTTAGCCTCTACACCACCAATACGCAATGATCAGCGGTTGTTACATGCTGAGATTCAGGGACCAAGACCTCTGCGTTTGCTGTTTTAGCCTCGGCCTATCAGCTCATTTCGGTCAAAAGGGGGTTTCTGTTTCAGCCCAAAACGGTAGAGTGCTTTAACATATTTGGACCCTGAAGAGCCTAGACAGGAGTGCTAAGACATTATCAGACGCCAAGACTATACTCTCAATATGGACGTGCAATTCTGTTGCTCTGTGAGTGCGTTTTGTCCAACACGTCCCGGCAGAATTATTATAATAAAAGGATGACTGAACGTACGATACAAATCATACAATGCACCACCCCTGTCACACGGGGTCTTGGATAAATGAACTCAAGATTCTGGAGCACCGTCGCCAACCTGGCTTCCAGTCGGATAATGTCCGAAGCAGGCCTTTTGATATTCTGCCTCTTTCTTCAGCGTCGGAACGCCACTCAAGAATCCCTCGACCGGGCAGAACCCATGGCGAGCCTGTTCACATCCTACCAGTCCATCCAGCGGCAAGGGAGCTCCGTTCAGAACAAAGCGGATGAACTTGGTCGTGTCTACAGTGCGGTCGACCTGGGGGTTACGATATAGCACCGCGGCAAGGGAGTCAAATGACGCGTTACGAGGACAGGTCCAAACCTCCGACATGAGACGCGCTCCGAATGGCGTCATCTGGCTCATGGCAAAAGTCCGGTTGAGTGCGTGGTCGACATTCCCGGGCAGGCCGTGCGGTCCATATCTGAAATAGCGCAGGCCCAACGCAGTGATGACGGACAGGATGATATCGTCATGCGACATGTCAAGGTAGAAGGGCTGGTCGAGGGGAAATTGTGACAGGTTATTGTCGTAGGTAAAAGTAATGCTCGTGTCGCTGGAGTAGATCAGCTGGCCCTGCAGTCGAGCCGCCAGTTCAAGGACATAGCCGATGCCCTGCGCACGGCCTGTAGGAGATCCGTACGCATAGTCCCCGTAGTACTGCACGTCGACATTATAGGCAAAATCCTTCCACTCCTGTTCGGTGAAGAGTGAGCAGAAAGAGGAACTCCCAAGGCTGGTGTACTCGTAGACGCAGATATTCTGCATCGCTAGCACATCGAAAGCCGTCAGGTTAAAGTCCTTGGGCAGATAACGGGAGAGACGGGAGATGGCCTGCCGAGTATAGCGGGGAATGAATTCTTGTGCAGAATCATCCCTGGTCATCTTAGCCTCGTTGTCATCAAGAAATGTCAGAAAGTTTATCACTCACCCTTCGGTCATATCTCCAGGACACGAGTCGTACGAGGCCAGAGTGTTGTTGAAATTGGACACCTCTGGAATGACGACCAAGTCATATTGATCATAAGAACTGTTGGCACCAGTGTTGCCAAAGAATCCACCTTGAGATACCTGTTAGCTACGTATTGCTACTCGCCCAAAGAATACACACTTAGCCACCATCGAGCACTCTCCAGGATCCGCGGCTGCGAGGTTGTGCGAAACACCGGCTTTGGACGGGCCGTGCCGTTTGGATACACATTCAACGAGGCATTCCAGGCCGCTCCGTTCTCCCGGCCGGCACGGTACAGTAGCCGTCCGTACTTGGTCCAGAAGCTGGCTCCCGCGGTTGCCTCGGTCGCTGCGCCGGTTTCCAGGAGGGTGTCCTCGCCCAGGATGTATTCCCAATCATCCAAAAAGCTCAATGGACCCGTGGCCGTGGCTTCGTGATGATGTCTCTTGGTGTAATTGCTCCATTTGGCGGCAAAGTCCTCCATCCCCTGCCCGTCCAAGGGATACGGGGTCGGGTAGCGTTCAGCATGGCGATGTAGCACATGGACTTGGGACAGCTCACAGCCATGCGGCATTCCTTTGGGCACACCAAAGCCATCCGCCTCCTGATATGGACTCAGATTCGCCCAATTCCGCGTCATGTCAAAGCCCGAGGCGTAGCTGCTCCCCGGGGGGGCTGGTGGAGCTTCCTTCGCGGCATCAGCACCTACAGCCAGGCTGCTGACAGCAATGACCAGTACTCCAGCCGCAGTCTTCATGTTCGGTCCGGCAAAGTGGGAATGACAAGAAGACTTGTTCTAATTGAGTTGTTGGTTGCCTGTGGCTCGTAAAAGCAGATGTGAGACTTGAGGGAATTTTGCATCATCCTCATGGGCCAAGATGCCTAGAGGATCCACAGCTCGTGCTAGAGTCCTATGCGGAACACCCTTGTCGATCGTCGTTTATCCTACCCTGGATGATTATTTCTGATTGGCTGATGAGAGCACAATGATTTTTAAGCCCTCCTTCTCATCTTATCTGCGTATCTCCAGAGCGAGACTGTATAGGCTCATTGGCAAGGCCGTTAACAAAGCTTGGCATGAAAGGCTGGTTATACCTCTGGTGACCTCGCTCGTTCTATGGAAAAGAAGGCTGAACTACTGTTCTAAGACTGCTAACCAGGTGGTTACTCTACTTCCCTGACGGGAGAAACTGGACTAAACAGGAGCCGAGGAACAGGAGGATTCGGAACATGTGTCAAGATATTATACCACAATAACTGTGATATGTGGTCCCTAGACTGAGGGTACATCGTCCGGACGCCTTTTTCGTCTAGCGGGATTGGATTTCAAAACATGCATTCCCCTATTGTTGACTGCTGATTGAGGTGGATTCTGTAGAATGATTTCCCTGCAAGTTGAACGCAATGAATGGACCAATCAGTCAATGAATCATCGCGAAGATTCTGCCGATGATCTCAGCCGGGTATAACTGCTGCTGAAATGGTGTTCAGGCATATACAAGACATAATATGCGGTCTGTATCTCCTGCCATTGATCCATCATGCGGCAATACTCGAGCCAAAATCCATTGGACTTTACGATCGTACACGCGCCCACTTCGCATTACCCTTGTGTCTCCCTGGCGCAGCCGTTTCTAAGCGCAAATTCCACAAAACTTCGGCGGAAGATGATGTACCCCGCAGGAAAAGGCTGCGGTATTCCCGACGTCGACCTTTTAAGTCTCTTCTTCAGTACACTCATGATGCTATCGGTCTGCAGCTGGCGCCCCCGAATTGAAGCTCTGTTGCTGCAACATCTGCTGACCATGGACGTTCCTATCATCGGAGTCGCTGCGTTAGACGGCTCCGGCAAGGAGGTTCCAGGAGCGTACATCGTCGCAGACAAGAGCAAGATCAGCAAGGATAAAGAGAAGGACTTGTCGGATCAAAATCGGTCATTATAATGCACTGGTGGGACGTCGCCTACCTTTTTTCGATTCCCAGGACTTCCAGTAATAAGGTACTGCAGTGCAGCCAGGCAAAGAAGGGCCGAGGTCGAAGCTGTATTGCAATATCTGCATATTTCAGTGCAATACTATGAACGACTCAAATAGATCACGATTTTACTTGCATAGTCAATCATGTCAAGCCTTCCATCTTCCTAACTCGCCCAGAGTTGCCTCAATTCTCACCCAAAAGCAGGCAAGTGTGGCTGCAAAAAGCAGAACACCGCAGACGATCCCCGCGCGCTCGTAGACGATCGAAGAAACCAAAGCGGTAGACTGAGGGATCAGCAATCCAGTCAACGGCGTCCCGATCAATGCTCCCATTCCTCGAATGAGGTACAAGACCCCGTTGACGCTGGTAAAGTGCTGCACGCCGAACAGTTCAATTAGAGATGCCGGGAAAAGAGAGATGTATGCGCTAGCGAAGGATCCATAGAGAATGGTAAAGACGATAAATAAGCCATGAGCGCTTGACGGCGACACGGTCGACTCCTGATACATGGAGGGCAGCCAGAACGCGAAGACGGCGATGGTACTAAATAGAGTTGTGAATGCCAACGCGTTGAGTCGCCCCAGCTTGTCGGCGCCGTATCCGATCAGGATTCTGGAGACAAAATTCGAGGCGTTGCTGACAGCGATAAAGTTGTCGGCAGTCGCAGCGCTGTAGCCCAACGTCCGCGCATAGGCGGCGTAGAAGAACAACGGAGTCGAATAACCGGCCGACTGAAGAAAGCAGCCCAAGGCCTGCGCGATGAACCGTCCAGAACTTGCCACGCGCCAGTTGACCAACGGCACTTTGATCCATCCGCATCGCCGGTTGAGACTCTGGTTTTGTACCCGAAGCTGCTCCTGGAAATTGGGTTCCCAGCGTAAAATGGACCCTGCTCCCGACATCAGAGTGAGCGAGATGCATCCCGAAATCCTCAATGCATTACGGTGGCCACACCATGCCTCCGACGCCACTGCCGGAGATGATGATCCCCATGGCCAACCCACGACGCTGATCGAACCAGGTCGGGGCGACAGACATGGTAGGTACATATGCCATGCTGGTTCCGATGCCCAGCAGCACGCCTTGGGTCAATGCAAAATGCCAGAGACGTTGGCTGAAGCCGGCCAAAATGTACGCAATACCAAAAACCCAGCCTCCAGCAACGATGACTGCTTGGGGGGACCAGAGCTTGGCCCATGTCATGGCCAGAGGACCTCCCATAGACATGAGAGCGATGGCCAGCGTTCCAATCAAACCAATTAGAGCTGTCGATTGACCTACGAAAGGAGAATGCGCTTCCTGAGCCATCTCTTCATATAGAGCTTGGTAGACACCAAAGGCAAATATAAAAGCGCAAGTGGTGAACATGACAGCGAATCCGGCACAGACAATCATGACATGATTCCTAGGTGATTGTTTTGCTTGAGTAACAGATAGAAGATTTAAAGACCGAGATGTAGCTCACCACATGGTGCCCCCATGCACAGCAATACGGTGTCTTTGATGGGCAACATCGCCAGAATTTGTATTGTCCAGCAGCTCCAAATCAACAGCGGCATGTGGATTATCCGGAGTAGCTAACCTGGTGTCGGGTGGCTTTTGATCCATGATTGACAGGTGACTTGGTATATGAATTTACGTGGAGAACCACAGAGGAGAGTCAGTTTCGAATGAGAGACCCGAAATGGAGAATGTACATGAGCATACTTTCTCGACAGGAGCCGGAGCAAATTCATGTCGACCGGCTAAATTCATATCCATTGCCGATCATCCGGATTCGATGACTGTATCGGGATGTTTCTTCCAGTTACATATATCAAGGATGGAATCTTTTCATTTGTCTCAGTAGATAGATACAATTCAATTGCTATTGAGCCCAATCCATGCCACTGCCGAGCACTGCTTGTCCCTGCGCCAGAGACCGCGACGGTTCTTCGCCCAACCACTGAGGTTCTAGTCGATCAATATTGGCTTCAATCTCCCATCCTCGCCCTCCTTCGACGTACATGGACTTGCCGTTGAGTGACGAATCGGCCAAGACACCGGCGATGATGTGAGCGACGTCGGCGGGGGTGTTGCACGGCAATTTTGCCTTCATCCAGGCTTCATGTACAGCATTGACCATGGCGGTGGTCGTCATCCATGGGCAGATGGCGTTGACTCGGATGCGATGAGTCGAAGAAGAGAGGTACAAACGCAGCGAACGCATCAGCCCGAGCACTCCATGTTTCGAAGCTTGGTAAACAAACATTCCGGGAGATTCCTTGAATCCAGCGACTGAGGAGACGAGGGTAAGAGACCGATCTGCGTTTTCCGGGCGGTTCTGGCGCAAGTACACGCTGGCGATGCGAGCAACATAGAGACAGCCAGTCAGATTGACATCGAGGACTTTGGTTGTCGGCGCCTTTTCATTGTCAATATCTTAAAAGCTCAATACGTAGGGTAGTAACGCACTTGGCGAACTGTCTCCAGCGTCAAGGCGGGATCGAACCAGTTACCAATCTCCATGATACCTGCACAGGCAACAGCATGATCAACGCGGCCATGTGTCTTTAGGGCCAGGTCAAAAAGACCGAGTACGGATTGATAGCTAGTGACATCGGTGTGCTGGAAGATGGCTTGGGGGGATGACGATGAGCCGGACGAGCACAGCGACTGAGCGATCTGATTTCCAGCGTCCTCAGCAACATCGCCGAAGCAAACATACGCTCCTTGCTGGCAGCAATACTCGACCACACTGGCTCCGATTCCATTGGCGCCTCCTATTGCTGAGTGAGCCACGGACGTTGGGATAGTAGAGACGCGACTGACCCGTGACAACAATAACTTTGTCGTTCAGAGACTCTGGCGTAATGGTGGGATGAAATCGAGCCATGATGGATGATTTCTACGGTATATCCAACTGTCTGGAAATGTTAAAGTCGGTGGATATGTATGCATTGGATCATCCAGATGCACTTATCAGGAAGATATAATGAATACAAGACCATCGTCTCCTCAGATCCGACTACGATTACCCCGCATCGTATAAGAAAGCATCGTAAAATTTTGACAATGCTCAGTCGGGGGTTTGCCGGCGATGGCCACGTCAGACACAGGCAGAATTGATCCTCCCCGACATAGAGCCGACATTCGATGGATTCCACAGGCATATTCTGGGAGATTTCCGATGATGTGGCATGACCGGAGTCAAAAATGAGGGGAAACACGCACACGCTGCCAACTATACGAGCCAGCAGTAGGATGACGACAGGCAGGAAGGGTTTGATCGAGGTACATTAACTCCTCTAGCTATTCACGAATGACCATATTCGCAAAGTCATCTATAGAGTCTTATTCTGTCCATCATGCCTCTACAAACTTATCATCATGCCTCGTCTATCAAAGGCCTGTCAAGCATCACCACCTTGATCGTCGGGGCCTCGGAGTCTATCCTCATAGACCCGCCCCTCCTGATTCCTGACGCTTTATCCGTGGTACGCTGGATCAAAGAAACCACCTTAAATCCCCTCAAAGCCGTCTTTGTCACGCATCACCACCCTGACCATTTCTTTTCCGCAAATCCTATTCTGGATGCGTTCCCCACGGCCAAGTTCTATGCCGCTCCTTACGTCCTGGAGGGCATCAACCGGGAATATGATGACAAGGTCAAGTATTGGCCTACTGTCTTTGGACAGGAAAATGTTCCCGAAGCGCCCAGGAAACCAGACGAATTCAATTTCGGTTTCTTCTTGCTGAACCGAAACCCCGGAAGCCCCGTGGTGCTGCTGGGGCCCTTGCAAGGAGATAGTGTTGACCACACCATCTTCTGGCTGCCGACTGAGAAGACGGTCGTCTGTGGGGATACTATCTATGGTCGAAGCACACATGTTTGGTGAAGCTGTAATAGTAATACCTCGACCCGCCGTCAACTACTGACTTCCATCTTTGATACAGGGTGGAAGAGGTGGAACCCCCCGCCCTCCTCGACGCATGGAATAAGACCATCGCGCTCATTTCTGCTCTAAAGCCGGTCAAGGTCATTCCAGGACATCTGGAGCCTGGTTGGGAGCTAGATGCCAAGGCAGACATTGCGCACACGCAGAAATACTTGGATCTCTTTGCTGAAAAGGTCACCCATGCGCCGACCAAGCCGCAGGTCCAGGATCTCTATGACTTCTTCGAGAATGCCTTTCCCCAGTGCCAACAGAATTTGGACTTTTTCTTGGGCCATTTGTCCAATCATTTCGGAGAGGGTGGCAAGATTTGGGGGGAGAATCGGCACCACGATGTCGGCAAGAGGACGATTGAGCGTCTGACGGGGTATTTGTTCAAGTGATCGTCGCTGGTTACCATTGTTTGATATTCCTGGCATTTCATTCATTCACTTTATGCACGTAGATCGGGTGAAGGATGGTAGCAATCAATGACGCCTCATAACTCCAGCTGAGCGCTCGTGTATCGGTACTTAGCCACTAAAGAGTGTTTGAAGATAGTTATAGGATGTCCGACAGGTAAATATCCAGGTCCTGTTTAGAATGACTTACTGGGGAACAGGCAAGTTGAATAGACGAAGTTCATGCTGCTCATCGGCAGTTCAATCGCTGGAGAGCCAGGACTGTGGACATCGCAGAAATCTCTCCTATGGATTACATCTACGCCATGTGCAGGAGAAAGCGTCCAGACAGGTGTTTTCGTACCTGTCACTCTTATCACGTGATCGCATCCAAGGAGTTGAGTACAGGAGCATTATTGCTAATCTTCATAGAATCTCTTACAGAGAGGGTTGAAAACAATGTCGCAGTCGAATACATGATATGAAATTCAAATGTTGAGTTATCCCCTGGGATTGTCGTCCCGTTGGCTGTATTGATCTGCGTATGTGGAAATATATATTCTGCATTGAACAGCAATAATCTCAATCTAGGGGGACAGCAACCACATCAAACTTAAGCTTAATGCAGTCGTTCCGCAGAGCAAAAGGGCCCATGGAATGTAACTATCGAGAAGGCTGTAATAATGTAGGGTTTCTTTTGTCCAGGAAGAGATTCGGTACCAGAAAAGGGGACCAGAGCATTCCTATTGCTTTGAATAAAGTAGGGAGTAAGTCAGGAGAAACATATTCAGGTACCCGTCCAGCATAATCAGGGGCCTCCCAGTCAAGACATCTAATTCTAATTCTAGATCTCGTCCTACTTTGGACTGATTATTATTGCTATTTTTAAATGCCGTCATTTCGTCTTGACAGCGACGTGAAGGGGACTATTGACTTGGCTGAGTCGTGTCTAACTGTCCAAGGTAGGACAGGCAAGATTCCCGATTTCATTGGTTGGACAATGTTCGATGCCCCGCTAGTGGATACAATACCCACCGCACTAAACCATTTACATGACATCTCCCCTTTGCCACATGTCTGCTGATTGGTAGTCCTCTCAGCCACTGCCCCGCTCGTCCACTCTTTGACTGAGGGAATTAGGGAACCCCTCGCAGGACGTTGTGCCTTTCCATGGTTCCTCTCTGAAATTTCTATGCCCATCCACCAGGCAGCACATGCATTTCATATCCGGCAATGCTATCTTTAGTCTAGTTCCGGCACAAGCCCTGACTGATGGGAGCCAACGTGGCCCCGGCCCACTTGGCCCAGCTGGACAGGTCAACCCGGGCCAGAGTCTAGACCTGCTTCTTTATTTATGCACTCTTCGTCTTCTTCGTCTACTGTCCATCTCTCTTTGTCATCTCTCTTCTTCTTCTCATCTGCTACTCGAACTTGGGTCTTTGTCTTTGACATCCAATGTTCATTTCATTCGTTCTATCCCTCTAAATCCATTCTTCATTCTTGATTTTGACTATCTACATTCTTTAATCAACGTCTGCACCTTCTTTTCTACACACTTTCCCTTTCACAACCTTCAAGATGCACTTCACACGGCTCGTTGCCCTTGCTCTGGCGCTCGCTACCTCCGAGGCCGCTCACCAAGGTTTCAACTATGGCAGTACCAAGTCGGATGGCAGCGTCAAGTCCCAATCTGACTTCCAGTCCGAATTCTCGACGGCCAAGAACCTGGTGGGCACTTCCGGCTTCACCAGTGCCCGCTTGTACACCATGATTGTAAGTTGCCATGCATTTTCTATGGTCATGGCCTTTCAGAGACTGACCGTCCTACCAGCAAGGAGGCACCGCCAATACCCCCATTTCCGCTATCCCTGCCGCCGTCGCCGAGGAAACCTCCCTTCTGCTCGGTCTGTGGGCTACCGGTGGAAACTTCGCCAACGAAATCGCCGCCCTCAAGTCCGCCATTGCCGATTACGGAGATGATTTGGCCAAGCTGGTTGTCGGTATCTCGGTCGGCAGTGAGGATCTGTACCGTAACTCGGTCGACGGTGTCAAGGCCAACGCTGGCCTCGGCGTCAACCCTGATGAGCTCGTCTCGTACATCAACCAGGTCCGTTCCACCATTGCTGGCACCAAACTGAGCGGTGCCTCCATCGGCCACGTCGATACCTGGACTGCCTGGGTCAACGGCTCCAACTCGGCTGTCATTGATGCCTGCGACTGGCTGGGTTTCGATGGCTACCCGTACTTCCAGAACACCATGGCCAACTCCATCTCCGATGCCAAGGCTCTTTTCAACGATGCTGTGGCCAAGACCGAGGCGGTCGCCAAGGGCAAGGAGGTCTGGATTACGGAGACTGGCTGGCCCGTCAGCGGCAAGACCGAGAACCTCGCCGTCCCTAACCTGGCCAACGCCAAGACTTACTGGGACGAGGTGGGATGCCCTCTGTTCGGCAAGACCAACACCTGGTGGTACATCCTCCAGGATACCAACCCAGTTACCCCCAACCCCAGCTTCGGTATCGTCGGCAGCACTCTGACCACCACTCCTCTCTTTGACCTGTCCTGCTCCGCTTCTTCTTCCTCCGCTGTCGCTTCCTCCACCCCCGGCCCCTCGGCCTCCTCCGTTGCTGGCGGCAAGGCCTCTGGCTTCGCTACCGCTGTGGGCACCGGATCCGCTGCCGCTTCCTCTGGCGCGGCTGCCTCTGCTAAGCCCACCTTCAGCGTTGGCAAGGGACCCGGTGGCTCCTACAACGGCTCCTATGCCGGCTCTTGGAACTCTTCCTCGTCGGCGCGTCCCTCTAGCAGCGCCATCTCCGGCTCCTCTTCTGGCTCCTCTTCCTCTGGCTCTTCCGGCTCTTCTGGCTCCGGTGCCTCCGGCCAGTCTTCTTCCTCCACCGGCAGCTCCTCCTCTCCTTCGTCTTCTGGCATCCTTAGCAACTCTGCCAGCGGTCTCTCGGGCTCCATCTTCGGCGCTGTCGTTGCCGTCTGCCTCGCTTTGGCTGCCCTGTAAGCGTGAGGTCTGCGAGGTCCAATAACGGTTAACGCAACCGATTGTTCAGATTTGTTCTGATGAAGCACATTCTACTGCGGCGCTAGTCTTTTTCTTCTTCATTTTGCTGTATACTAAGACTCTCGTTTAGCCAAATAGACCAAGAGAATAGACCAACTATATTCAGTCTTGGACCAGTGACGGGAACCTGTCAGCATTATAGAGTCGTACAACGTCCAGGATGTAGGGACCTGGATTGGTCCCATCAATGACTCGCCATGATCTATGCTACTCACGTAGCATAGTGGTCTACCTGGTCCGTGGACTTTATGAGTTATTTTCTCCTAGGGGTCAGTGAAATACAGCTGCATTCTACCGCATCTAGAACGTGTCCTAAGGGTCCCGATAGCCCAACGTCGAACACTGCTCTTTCCAGTAGCCCACATGAACTCGCTGAAGCGACTAGCCGTAATAAGGTTTTGGAATTCTGGGATGGCTGAGGTGTGTCAAATGACTGCCTGCTTGTATTTCAATCCCCCTGAAGTGCATCTAGATCCGCTGTGATGCTCTTGTCTAAATGGCTCTCAGTCAACCTAGCGGCTTCCCACCCTTGAAAGTCATTTCCCCCTCCCCCTAATATTTAGTATACTACCTATAGCCTTAATATCAGCCTCCCCCTGTACATATGTTGGCTTGCAACTGCCACCCGCACTCAACCACCCCAGGGCCAATAGAAGTTGAATCCGGAGTAGCACACGTTCGGCCTATTCGGGCTGATGGTGTTCTGGGTAAAAACCGTTGGAGTTCCCACGCAATATTGACCAGGAAGGCTGAAGGTCTTCCGCCCAGCTCATACACGCCAGTGGCTCCCTCGGGTGTACGTTTACCAGCGATGTAGACTGGACCTTCACATTCCGTCGCGGTGATACCAGACGAGATGCCGGTAATCCCGGTTTGTTGCCACCCACCCTCCATTGGTTTGTCTGGCCTGTATATTAATGGATATTTTCCTGCAATGTATGTTCTTTCATTTATCGAACTGATATGTTTTAGTATAAATCAAGGGTCAGCTGCGGTTCAGCTTGTCGAAGTTTAAGTACGGATCGAAGACCTTGAGCGTATTCAACGAGGGCGAGAATATCTAGAGCTTGACGAAGGTCAGCAATCCCTTGACTCTAGTATGGTTTGGGAGGAAGGTAAGAAAAGTTGAGCTGATCATACAACCTTATCATGCAATATACGGTGACTAGCCTGGTACATGCATATCACACAGTTTTTATGAAGTCTGCTCGAACCCCGATGTCTTAGGCAATGCACTGCCACTATTCAACTATAATGAACCCTCCAGGAAGCTGCACGTGCCGCCACTATCTGCAACACGCTGTACTCTTTGTCCCAGACACACCAAGCTGATAGAAGCAAGACCTCGACTTCTGCAAAGAACCTGACGGCCCATATATTAATCAGGATAATGACCACCCAGAACATAGAGATCCAGGCGGCGGTAGGCACTTGATCAGTCCAATAGTGCAGGACAGTGACCACTCCCTTAAAGAAGTTAGCACATGTTTGATAAGATGGCTCATGGTCTGCGTCCTAGAAGGACATACCCGAAGTTCATTGGCAATAGTGATCCAATAAGAAAACCAATATGACCAACCCAAGGCGAACCCCACGGCAGGGCTAACAAAAATGGTAGACCATTGTACAAAGGCAGATGGAAGAGGGTAAATGACAGCCATCTCTCCTATAGATTGACTCACGGCCCAGATCATCGAAGTGCTAATGAAGAAACCGATGAACAGCGCCGCAGGGCCTCCTCGGATCAGGGCCTGTCCGCTTCCCAGCCACCTTCCCATTCCGATGGCCGATCCGAGAGCAATCATAGTGAGATGGCGAGTCCCTGGAGACCGGTGGAGCTGGGTATCTGCTCCATGATCGATCTCCACAGCTTCATCCTTGGCAGCACTTAGATTGTCCTTGGTGTCGACGAGATGGATAGATGTTCTATCATGAATGGGTGCCTGAGGCAGATTGCCTTTGGAGGAATACTTGAGCTGGTCTTCTGCTATATTGACAGCGCGGTTTGCGAGATATGCAGGGTTATACAGTAAATAGCAGAAGTCTTAATTAAAGAGAACTTTGGATAGAAGTTACGCACCGCTTCGGACTGGCGCGAATGGCCCTATATAAGTAGATTTCTCCAGGTTCCAGCTAGCAAGCATATCGGTATAGTTAATCATACAGCCATCATTGTCAAACAGTCAATTCCAAGTAATCAGGTTCTAATCCGTTGTCTCTAGAGTCTATTTCCCCGCATTGCCTAGATTAGTGCTTATCTTGATAGTGATTTCATCAAAAGCTTTCAGTTACATGTCATTTCTTTGGCTTTGCCTTTGAGTGGCTACGGACTCCTACTGGCAGTGTGAACTTTGAGCAAGCATCGAAATGACTAACACCGCAGTCATTTGCTTTCCTGACTTGATTCAGAAATGGGTCGAGAACCTACCGAGTCTTCCCTCTCTATGTTGACGGCCAATATACTGCTGGACTCTTATCAAAAAACAAGGATAAGGTCAGTGCAGCAGCACTCCAAATAAGGAATTACAGAGCTGGGACAAGTGAGATACGTGTTTATCTCGTCTTTGTCCGCGTTCCTCCTGACCCAAAGGGTGCTTGTGACTACATTCGTTATCAGTGTGGTCCCTGGCGAATCGTATCTTTTGAGGTTCCTTGTACTAATGGTGGAAGGATTGCCATGCCTGATAGCTTCGGCTTTTGAAATACACTTTTACGACGAAACTCTTATAAGGTTTCGCATGGCATTGTGTGCGGAGTAGCGAGGAGTACTGATAGTAAGCTGCAAAATATGACTTCAACGTCAGAAACAGCATGCAGGTAGTCCAATGGCGGTATATTTGATAAAGCCTAGAATATGAGAAGAGCTCGAACCGGGTTCATGCTTCTCTACTCCAATACACCGAGGGAAATACCATTCTCCAGCCTTCTAGCTGCCTCCAGTCGTACCTGGTAGACGATAGTAGCCGCGCTCTTAATCTTCTTCACCAATCCCACGCCTGTGCCAGCCCACACACACTTCCTGCCTCCTTGACATTAAGTTCCTTGTCCTGTCCTTCCCTTAGACGCAAGTAGAACCGCCTCATGACTTCTTGCATGGGAATTCCCGCGGCCACGTCATCATAGCTTGCATTCCTCAAACACCGTCCGTCATACAACTCCGGCCACGGACTCGGGCCCCAGATCTCATCAAAGACCCTCGACCGCACGGTTGACACTCCCCCGTCGACGGCATTTATGATTGCCTCCTGGTACTCACGAGGCAAGCTTGTCTCCTCCGCAGCCAGAAATCGTGTGCCCATCACCACCCCAGCCGCCCCAAGCATGATAGCGGCCGCCACACCGCGTCCATCGACGATCCCTCCGGCCGCGATCAATGGGATCTGGCTCATCCTATGCTCATGAAGCACATCGCATACCTCTGGGAGCATCTATCCTAGTTTTGTAATTTTTGTAACGACATCACAGTCTCAGTAATGCTCATGGACAGGGTTCAATATGCCAAGCCAAGCTTCTCAGTTGCTTGGGAGTTGTTAAACCCATAAAGTCCTTCATGGGGATACCCGCCACCGCGCGCGTTTTGTTCTGGCAGTTACAATCTGTACTCCAAGAAGGATTCTTGGATGACTTCACAGATCTCCTTGTTTAAGAAGTAACCAGCAGTTAATAAGAATCTTTTATTCTCAACTCCTAGAGCTTCCATTGCTCTTATATGGGCTAAGGTGGCGTCATGAACATATATCCAGAGGAAGAACAATGTTCCTGTGTCAGGGATTTCAGCTTTATATTTACCTACTATAAAATTTCGGATCTGCTGGTTTGATGTGTTAAGTTCATCAAGGTTACACAGGGGGTGTACCACCAGGCTAAACATCAATGTTAGATATAATATAACCAGAGAGAAAGGTGGGTTCTCTCTCTCTAGAAACTCCTAACATGCTCACTCAGCAAAAGTCTTGCTTGCTAGATCAAAGCTTTTAGTTCAAATATAGGAACATCAGTCAAACAAGGAGGTGAATGCTAACCTCTGTATCTGTTAAGAGGATTTAAATGAGCGTCCAAAAGGGTGATTGGGTTCCAATCTTCCTTAGAATAAGTATAATCAACCCAACTGTTCCCCTTGTAGCTGTTGATGATCAATGCGAAAGAAGATGTTACGATCTGCAATTAGTTAAAAACAACCCCGGGAACTGAAGCCAAGTCTATTTCATTTCACGATGATGCGGGAAGCATACCACTTTCTTAACCAATAGTGTACTTTTCTGAACTGCTTCCAGCAACACAATAGTCCCACTAATTACAGGATCCAAGAGTTCTCACTGAATATTAGTTATCAAGTAGCGAAATGGAGACGCAGTATGCATGACCACATCAAAGGGCACATTGGATTTGAAACATTCATCAAAAGCACCGGCGCTCGTAAAGTCCGGAACGATGATAACTCGTAGCTGAGTGGTAGATGCATGTAGATGGTGGCGTTCGCAGATCTGCTCTGCCTTCTCGTGACTGCGGACGGTGGTTACGACTGAATATCTACAAACACGTAAGTTAGGGGTGGGGGACGGGAGGCTGGTTGTAAATTGCATTACCCTCGCTCCAAGAGGAGACCGAGAATATGGCTTCCAAGAAATCCATTACCGCCTGTTAGTGCTGTCAGTCGAAGCTAGGCCCTCGTAAAGTTCACTCTTGAAGTGAAATACGAACCTGTGAGGAGGACTCGAGCCATGCTTCCTTCTCTTTCCTGCCTTTGTTTCCGTTGCTTTTAGGGAACTTATGCTTTTAAAATATCGAGATCAATTCGCCACAGTAGGGTGACGGAGAGAAATGGATGGAAAATGAGGACTAGGGCCAGGTGTTTATATCTTATTGTCTCTCCAACTCCGGTTAGACGAGGACGTTCCGGCAATTCCAACACGAGCATTGCTCTAGATGTGGCCAATTAACTTTCGTCAAAGCCAGGTAGGACCATACGAGGTAGTATTTAGTGAAGTGGATCCTCTACAGTGGATTTACTAGTCGCATTTCAAGTTGACGAACTGAGAAGTGGTGTTTTACCGCTAAGCGCAGGCTGATTATTGAAGGCAAGCAGGAGCAGCTAGGTTCGATGTTCTGAACAGTCATGGTCACAGGTCGATCTTCATACTGAGGCACAATTGGCGGGGGAAGGAATGGGAAGTATGGATGGACGAAGATGTAGTAAGCGTTTACTCTAGGTCATTGTCCAAGTGAGATTGTTAGTTACTTGTCATGTAAGATGGGCTTGAACTTACAAACCCTGATCACAGCGGTATGCTCGCAATGTCACCGTAGGTGTTTCAACAGAGGATGGAGCTGTGCGCATGGCGGCTCCATGATTGATGATAACATCGGAGTCTTGTAAAGGACCAAGAGATGGGTTAATTCCAATGAAACTGTGTACAACTGGGCCTACGATGAACGGTAAGCTGAAGAAATCTTCGCTTACTGTTGATACCAGTGGTCTCAGAGGAAAGGGGAGACAGATAGGCTCCATTATCAATGCCATGTACGTATGGGGGAGCGATGGGGACTTGTTTACACGCGAGACTTTCAGCTGCTTTGATTCCTCTTCGGGCTCCACCGCGCCGACTGGGGCGGTAATGACATTCCCGTCTACTGTTGAAACACTGGGAAGGCGTCAATCAGCAAGGGATAGGAAAAACAGGAGGGCACGAGGCCGGTTGAAGCTTACATTTGCACAAGGGCTCTGCCCATCACACCGTCTTGGATGCGCGGCTATCAAACGTCAGCCGTCGCCGTCGGATTCAACCCTTCCTATGCTCAGGGAAGAGATTCTGCAGTAACAAGCAATAAATAAAGGCCTAGGCCAAATTCAAGGAAAGCTGATGAATAGGATAGGATACAGTACTCACCACGCGAGACATGCCAACTTCACAAGCTGATGAGTGATGAAATATTAGTCATCCTCCCGGTACGTGCCTGAGGCCCCGACAAGAAAGAAAGATCGCCACAAAGGCCGAGCAAATGGAAACTGGAGAGTGATTGATATCAGGCCACAGAGGTCGGTGTAGTTGACCCACACGTACTACAGATAAGTATCGATTAACAGAAGAGGAATCGCCAAAGCCTACAATCAAAGACCGAATGTCTCGCTGTCATATGTTGCTCAAGACCCCACCTCTCCATATATATCTAGCTCGGCTTGTCACGAAGAGGTCATCACTCGCATCATCATCTCTCCTTCTCAGTTGCCGAGTTTCTTACTCTTTCTTACTCTTGGTGTAGCCTCTCCCCATCATGACTCATGAGTCAGACGTCGTGCCACCCGTGTTGGCTAGTGACGAGTACTACGACCTCGGCTCTTTCGGTCGGAAGATCACCACCTCCAACCCAGACACTCAGACCTGGTTCAATCGGGGCCTTAGTTGGGTTTATGCCTTCAATCATGTCGAGGGCGCCTACTGCTTTGAACAAGCCATCGCTCACGATCCGTCGTGCGCCATAGCATATTGGGGGCTGGCGTACGCAGTGGGTCCCAACTACAACAAGCCGTGGGACCGTTTTGATAGGGAAGACTTGAAGGTCTGCGTGAAACGGGCATACGAGGCGTCACGCAAGGCCAAAGAACATGCAAACAACGCGACTCCGATCGAGCAAGGGTTGATCGAAGCCATCCAATCCCGATTCCAGAGCGCCTCCCCACCCAATACTGCGGAGCAGTCGGCGCTGAACCATGCGTACGCGACGGCCATGGAGCCTGTTTATCGAGCCTTTGGCGACGATCTGGATGTCGCAGTTCTCTACGCAGACGCGTTGATGAACCAGACTCCTTGGGCGCTCTGGGATCTGTTCACTGGCGAACCGAATCCCAGAGCAGCCACAATGGAGGTCAAGGAGGTACTGGAACGCGCTCTGACCCAAAAAGGGTCTGATAAGCACCCAGGGCTGCTGCACCTCTACATCCACTATATTGAGATGTCGCCGAATCCTGAGTTAGGTGTCAATGTCGCCGACCAGCTGCGTGACTTGATGCCCGATGCAGGCCACATCCACCACATGCCAACTCATCTCGACATCCTGATCGGGGATTGGCGGCGTTCGATTGCGTCCAATTACAAGGCTACTCTAGCTGATGACAAGTATGTGCGCCGCGAAGGTCCATACAACTTCTATACGTTCTATCGGCTTCACGACTACCATTCTCTCATCTATGCGGCTATGCTTTGCGGAAAACTCAATACGGCTCTGGATGCGGTCGCTCGGATGGAGGCTTCAGTCCCTGAAGATGTGCTACGGATTGAGTCCCCGCCCATGGCTGATTGGTTAGAGAACTTCATGTCTATTCGCTTACATGTCATGGTGCGCTTTGGAATGTGGGAGGTGCTGAAACAAATAGAATTACCGAATGACTCTGAACTCTACAGAGTCACGACGGCAACTACACATTATGCCAAGGGAGTTGCCTATGCGGCTACCGGGGATGTAGATGGAGCCCTAGAGCAGCGGGAACTCTTTCAGCAGACTTGTGCACTTGTCCCCGAGACCCGTCGTGCCTATAATAGCAAGTGTACGCAGACCTTGGCCGTGGCCGCGGCCATGCTGGATGGGGAAATCGAGTATCGCCGTCAAAACTACGCCACGGCCTTTGAGCATCTGCGCAAATCCATCGAACTTGATGACAAGCTTCCATATAGTGAACCATGGTCATGGATGCAACCCAGTCGACATGCCTACGCGGCCCTTCTCCTGGAACAAGGCCATCTCGAGGAAGCGGCCAAGGTGTACCGCGCTGACCTTGGGCTTGATGACACACTGATTCGTCCCCGCCGCCACCCGAACAATGTTTGGTCGCTCCAGGGGTATCATGAATGCTTGACACGGTTGAGAAGAACGGAAGAAGTGGCTGTCATCGAGCCTGCAGTAAAGCTGGCGCTTGCTGTAGCAGACATTCCCATCAAAGCTTCGTGCTTTTGCCGATTGGATACTTCACAAGCGCCGCGTGTCATTAAGCGTTGTAGTTCCAGTGGGAACTGCCACTGAAAGGATCACTTGAACGTCAATATATGCTTCGACAGAAAATAGACGATTGATTATCCATCGGCCCTCTCTGTGCACAATTTTCCTCTACAAAGCTTTTAGTTATTCAAAGAGACTGGGGACGTACTACTTGGAGAGTTTCATAGTTGGTAGAGCTCGTGGTACGCATCAGTTACCAGAGAATAAACTGTGTCTACTCGGCATTTGGGTGAATGATTAATCTCTCAGCGCTAGTCTTGCCCTGCCTGAGGAGATCCCAAGATTCCTGCGTCTTGCTCAACCCACCCATGATCCTGGTCGGGAGTGCCTGGATTTGGTCCTTTGCGACCGCCTCCTCCAGATACTCCCACCATACCCAGCTGGTGAAGTCGGCATTTTTGGGATCGAGGTAGTCGTCCAAGAACTGGGCAAAGACCCCCCTAACCCCATCGGGCAGCTTTACGCCTTCTCTCACACCCATTGTGGATAAAAACGTGCCCCCGCCTTGAGCAGCCAAGACCGTTCCAATCACCTCTTGGTCCTTCGCTGCGTCCGCAGCGGCGAGGACGGCATGGAAGGGACCAATTGCAATCAAATCCTCAGCCGCAGAAGCCTGCCTTCTGTCCACAAACTCGGTAGCTCCCAAAGATCTGACCAAGCTGGCGTTCGAAGCAGATGCAACACCCACAACCGCGTACCCTGCGCTTGCTGCAATCTGGACGGCATTTGCACCGAATGAAGAGGATGCACCCCAGATTAGAACCTTCTTGGTCTTATTGGCTGGATCAGGTGTGGTGGAAGGCTTGTCCAGGTGCAAGTGCAAGACAAGCGCACTCATGGCACCATACAAGTTGGAGGCGAGAGCAGCGGCTTTCTCGAAAGATGCCTCACGAATCTGGTTCAGAAATGATTAAATCAGCAATGGCCAACCACTCAGGGGATCTGGATAAGAAGGAGAGCAAAACCTTCGCCGTAAGTTGCTGCGTAGTCAAAGCGAAACGCTGCAGGGCCCCGAATCGAGCGTCATTACGCAGAGTTCCTGCGCTATTGGTGACAACTCGGTCTCCGATGTGGAAACGCGTCACACCAGGGCCTGTTTGAACGACTGTTCCTGAAAAGCACACTGCTACAAGATTAGCTGGTTGAACTGTTCAAGCTGTATAGCTCAGACGAGTGGTGCTTGATTCACGAACATCCTATAATTGTAGGGTACGACAAGGGAAACGGAAGGACACCATCTTGTATTTTATATTCCGCTGGTTGAATGGCTACAGCTTCGGTCTATAAGATATTAAACTTGAAGACTGTGTTCGGATTTACATATGCGTATCATCCCCTACCTGAATGAGTAACTCATCATCGCCAGGCTCAGGCATTGGGGCTGGGCCAAGCTCTAGCTTTGCCCCTACACGCGGGAGCCACGCTGCGACATTTTGCTTGTCTGGCATGATTGACATGAAAGGTATGAAAGTGGTTCAGGCAATAAGTCCAAAGCAATCAAGATAAATGAGAGCAGTTAGGAAATTATTTATATTCGAGTCTTCCGTACGGGCTGAAGGGATCTCTCCACTTTTTAAACGCGACCATCTGGGCCAAAAGTCAGAGGTTAGACTGTCTGAGGTCAAACACGAAACTGTAATATAATGTTGGATGACAGCAACTGGTTCCCTTTTTTAGTGTAATTTCAGTGCTTATTGTTTTCGCAGGTCTTACTTCTGGTTCAATAGTTGCATATGACCCATTTCGTCAGCCAAGCCATGGGTGGATGCAACAGTGGCACATCTGCAGTTCAGCAGAATCTCAAGTTCCAACCATGGTACTAAAAGTTGCAACTCTGATCTGCCTCTCTAAATCACGCTAGACGATGGACCACTCTAGAACTTAGTTGGCATAAATTACTACTCCGTATTATAGGACTCGATTGACGATATGCGAGCTCTACTATTAGAGCTGACCAGAATATATTTTTTGAATTCCAAACTCTTTCATCCACAAAGACGCTCCTGCATCTCTGATAGAGTATAAAAGGAGCAAACAAATTTCGAGATGGTCTTGTTACATGACAATTATCTCCATCCTTACAATTGTAGTAGTGTACAGAGTACCTTAGGCAAGATTAGGTAGCAGAGTTGCATAACTGAACTGCAAACTAGAACTGACACACTAAACTTAGAAAAGTATAGGATTAGCTCTTAGCTATACAGTACACTTAGAATGGAAAGATATGCACTCCTGTGGTTAGGAGACTGTAACAGGGCCAGAAGAGCACTATAGGCCATGGTGGATAGATGTCACCTATGTACAGAGTACAAGAGACTGTTAAGGAGGAAGAGGGGCACTGCTGAGTACTCATGAGCCACAGAGTGGCTAATGACTAAGTGAGGGGCACAATGATGTCACGTGCAGGCTCTCACCAAAAATGATCGGTATTACTAAAGGATGAAAAGCATGTTGAGAAAATGGCTTGAGTGAAAGAACAGAAGATGGAGAAAAGTATCCTAATCATTAGATAGGTATAGGAAGCATGGGTGCCAACATGCTAACTCAGAGGTTAAAACATAGTGATATCTGGAAGGGAATTAATTTATGGGTGGCTCACGGTTGGGTCACTGGGTGATATGCTAACTATTATTCTGTGACGTGTTTATAAGTCAACTTAACATCTAACCACACAGTCACTGCATAAGAAAGCATCAGCATGTCCAGACGTATCCCACTGTTCGACGGACACGTCATACTCACCATCAAGAGGACCCCTCTCACTTTAGATGAAGCCACTCATACTCTTTACAATCGAGCCATTACCGACCCAACCTCCCTTACAGACCAAGAGCGAAGAACAATCACCCGCCGCCCACCCCCGGAAGAGGAGGACGCTCTCTGTCGCAGGGCCTGTGGACAAAGCCTCTCTGAACTAGTCAGAAAGGCCATCCAGAACGGAGACTCCCTAACGTACAAAGAATCCGTCATACTAGCCACTGGCGTCGATTCCAGCGAAAATGAGAGACTCTGGCGTGAAGCGGCACGGCTCAGTGCTGCCGATCGCGAACTCCTGGAGAGAGCCATGACCGCCGCCACCACAGAGGAGATGAAACGCGCGCGGGAGAGCGCCCATGCCATCATGAAAAGATGGGTAGTCGCGCAGTGCGAGGCGGAGAAATCCCTGAGTGACCATGATGTCCGGAATATCCAGTTTGCTTTGCGTGTGCCGTGGCAGGAGCATATTCTATCTCTGAACCAGATGGCGGTCTGTGGCCTTCTGGTCTTCTTTCCGAAAAATGTGCCCGAATGGCCGTCGTTCAAGGAACGTATCGAAACGGCTGTTTATCATGGACTACATTTTCGGCCGCGGGCTATGAACGAGGAGGTCCTGGCGAAGTTTACTCTTCATTACGTGGAGTCTGGTATTATCGATAATGATGGCAACAATGTTGCTGCTCTTCAATCTCGGTTTCTTTCCATGCGGGATGGAGGCGAGTTGCCCGAGGGCCTGCGATTGGATGCCTTTCTGTATGTGGATGAGGAAGCTATACGATCTGGTGATACTGTGAGACCATTTGTTTGGCTTTTGGAACCAGGCGAGACGGCGAGACCACTCAAGGTGCATATTAAACACATTGCGCCGACGTTGTTTGCTCGTCTTACGCAGCGAGATCTTTCTCCGCCAGAAGCAAGACGTTGGCCGTATCGCCATACGTCTGAGCTGGAGATGCTTCACACAGCGGCGGCTCGGTCGAAGGATGCAAACGGGGTAGCAGATGGGATTTGGCCGCCACGTGCTCGCGATATGTGAGTTTGTTCCGGCTTCTTGCGATGGATGAGAAATTTTCCTTCGGTTTGGGGGTTTTTTATTAGGAAAACAGAGGGCAGATCTGGAAAAGAACACTAAAGTACTCGGTTGTGTAGCTTTCGGTAACCATTACCCCCACTCTTTTAACGAGTGGTCACCCATTCAAGCCATCCCTTGCCCTCTAATCTTTGATTTGTTCTCCCTAAGTAGCCCTGTTGTAAGTATATACTGAAAGTCCTTCCCTCTCGCTACACGCCCACGCAAACATAGTAATCTGGCCACAACTATTTCCAATAGCCGGGTTATCTGGGTCATTACTCAGTGATCGAAGTACCTCGTTACTCCCCTTAACCGGTCTTAAAACTGCTGCAGACGGATATTGTCAGAAATGACGCAATATTCTTACCGTATTTATTGCAGTATCAATGTGTTGCCAGCCTAGTTCGCTTCTTTCCAGGAGCCATCCCGGGGTACCAGCTAGCTAAGACTGGACTTTGTGTTCAGTAGAGTGCAACTACCTATTTCTCAGTCGCGCATTTCCCATCAGGGATACACTACCTCGAGATCCAAGTAACCCACGCATAAATCCTCATATACGAATGTCCATCTGAGGATTTCTACCAAGAGAGGTTCTTCCACACAAGCCGTAGCTATCTCTTCCATAACTTGCATATCGTCCATTATGTGGTTTACAATGGAAATCATAGCCGGCGGGTCGGGCCCCATGAAATCATCAACATATCGCGGGATGATCTTTCGCTTGACCCTTTCCGTATAATACCTGTCGATCAAATGTTCGAGTAACAGTATTGCCTTTTTGAGGAACGCCAGAGGTTTGATCTGATCCTCATGATCCTGGAATAATCGCGACGCCGGAGCTTCGAGCAGGAATACAATGAATGCCACGAATCTCGCAGTGGTATATGGTGGCTCCTCAAACCGAAGCTCTGCTGTATCAAAGTGCAGAGCATCGCCTCTGAATACATCGGTCATAGTGCTGAAAATTGTCTCTGACGTCTCGGCTCTGTGGATCCGTTGCAGCAGAGCTATCCAGACCTCACTCGCTTGTTTAAAATTCCCTTCTCCGCCGAGGTCTCACATACGCAATATTTCTTGCTCAATTTGCTCCCTAGCGGGTTGTGCTTGGTAGGGTCCTGCGCTAGGGAAGGGTGCTTTGAGCGCGATCATACCATTTCCAATAAAGGAGAGAAGTGCCGCAGGTGACGGTGATAGATGCAGGATTTCTTCCGTTAAAATTGCAGCATCCACAGGCAAATCCTCTTCTTGACCAAAGGCGTTGGGTTCTTCAAAGCTTGGAGGGAGACTGAAAGCAGGCTGTGCAGTTGCAGGTGTCGCGACCTCTTCTAAGCTATGGTTGGACTCAACACTCATTGATTGATCATTCATCGGAAGAGGTGTAAATATGGCAAAACCTTCAGGAATTGCCGGGGTCTGTGCTGCGATAGACATTAACTGATGGGCTCCTGTGCTAACCAGGGTTCTATCCAGTACTTACCATTTGTGGCTTGACTCAATTCAGTCAAAGTAGCATTGCGGGACATCTCTTTACGGAGAGTTTCGGGCGGAATAGGGACGCCTTTATACTCAACTGCACTGTTTTTCTGGTTTTGTCTCCGCTTCTCAACCTTTGTAGCGACTTTTCTCCAGTCGTCAGACGTTTTATATCTTCTGAAACCCCAGTTCTTCAACCGCTTTTCAAATTGACTTTTGCTACTTGCTGTTAACAACCACGTCAAGTACCATAGGTTGGAATGGTAACTCACGTCGCGTGGAAATTGTGGTCATCCGCCATGATTTTCATCACCTCTGCGAGTGTGTCTCCCACAGGGACCGAATAATCTCCTTGACGTGTTCCCATTCAGCTTCGGAGACTTTGAAATTTCTTGAGGTTGACATTGTCAAAGGCAGCATGTATTTAGCAGTGGTGAGTAAGAAGAAGAGGCCGGTTTGTCTAGACATCCAGGAAAGGGTGCCAGGGCATAAATAAGACTATGTTCAGGGAGCCTTCAAACCAGCTGACAAGTGCATGGCTTGGTCCCTGTACGATGGTTGGACCTTTCCCTAACCTCCAGCTCAGCCTGTGATTCAGGATCCTTGCAAGGCGCAGCGCGTCCGACCAGTAGAACGAAAGATTGGAAAAAGCAATATGACACTCCGCCAGATAGGGCCAAAAGTGCATTGGTATTACAGCCTTCCACATTCTGGTCATCCAAACTTTTCCCGTGTGTACCCTGCATATATCCTGGGTGCAAGGCAATCTGAATCCCAGACTGATAACCCCTCCCCGCACCGACCCCTGGGGGACTGTAAGCAATCTACCCGGCGCGCTTCTATATACGTCTGGAGTCGCAAGATGCATAGCATCTCGCAACAATGTTGGTCTTTTGGCCTTGTTCGGAATCCAGAATCCGGCTGGATTCCTTACAAAATCCAAGAGGTGTGGTACTAGCTACCGAAGAACTTATACCAACTCAGCCTGAACAATTCGGCTCTATTCCACAGCTCTCTCTTTGATAGCCTTGACGCAATAAGTATTAAATTTGCTGCCTGTTTGATGTAGCACAGTCGTCACTGATCAGTATATCACCAGGCAAGATGCCATTGATCTCACAGTATCCTCTGCTTGAACTACAAGATATTTATTTTATATATTGCCTTGGTAAAATCTTATACGCCAAAACTATAACCCCTGCCACTTGAAGCCTGGAGAGGTGTTGAACAGAGCTTCAGCGCACATGGTTTGTGCATCCCTTCCTATCTTAACGTGCCATTGCCTGGGCTCAGCTTGCCATATCAAGGTCAGTTCATCCTAGTAGGAGATAGTGACTGCTCTAATTATCAGTGAGTAATAAAGCTATCAAGTCTCAGTCTACTTACATTTGTCCATCTCCACAGTGACTGTCTTAAACTGACTGGGTAGAAGTATAGCGGTCTTTGCGAACACTTGTAGAGTGACATCTGGATATGTAAGGGAAGTCATTATTAGTGGGGGTGGGCTAGTGTAGAAGTGAACAGAATGAACACTAGGTACCGTGCTAGTATTAGTCACTCTGATGGACATAGAGATGTGCCATGAGCCTGGAGAAGATGATGCGGAGAGTGAAAGAGTGAGCTCAGAATAATCAAAGGTAGTATATGATAGGCTGTGACTGGAGGGATACAGGGGTTCGATGCCCCGGGCGTTGAAGTGATGGTAGCGACCCAGACACCTTCCCCACAGTAGGTTCTGAAAAGTGGAAGTTCTTTCCTGTATATTTTCATAAAGTGCATGAATCGGAAGCTGCCATGTTTTCTTTGTCCAATAGCCTCTCGCATATTCTCAGAGACACATAAGGGCGTCATCGTCTCGCCCTCGGCCAACTCAATGATCAGGACGAAAAGCTACAGAGTGATGGGCACGGTCAATTTTCCATTGCTCTTGTACCACAATCTCTAAGCAAATTGCCATGTATGAAGGCCCTCCTGTATAAGAAGTATAATCATTGATAACCCGGATCATGGATAAATTGTCGGTGCGTAACATCTGGCGAAGCCTATCAAAATGATTCCCGCATTGACATCGATACAAAGACAATCCAACTTGATAAGCAAAGAACGAGCATCCCTAGAACCACTGGCTGCAGAATTTGGATGCCTGCCACCTTTGCCAGGGCCCCCGTTATGAATGGGAACACACAACCACCAGCACTCCCTAGAGCGACGGCGATCCCAATACCTGCGATATGCAAATGCTTGGGTAAACGATGTGCCAAGGCAATGACTGCTTCTGGGAACAATGGGCCGAGGAAAAATCCTAGCAAGGCAACTGCAGCTACGGAGACCTTTATCTCCTCCACCAGCCAGAACACAATATGGAATGCCAAGCAAGCTGCCAGGTACACAATCACCGTGTATTGGCCGATTTGAAGATATGTCGTCAAGAATCCGAGGAGCACACGGCCCAACGTTAGCCCTGCCCAGTAAGCAAAATTTGCCATACCCGCCGCGAATGGAGGTATGCCTCGTTGGCGGACAAGGTAGGTGAAAACCCAACCACCCAAGGTGATTTCAATCCCGGCATAAATAAAAATGAATAGACAGATTATCCACGTTGCCGCTGACTCTAGCGACTGTATTGTGGGGTTACCGCGCAACCTTTCCCTCCAGGAGAGCTTGGTATCGGCTCCGTTCCCGTTGCTTTGATGCTCTACCTTGGCCGAACTACCTCGCGCCGACCAGAACGCAAGAGTTAGCGTCACAACCTCAATGATGGCGCCACCCGCCATGAGATAGTAATACTGATACCAGTGCCATCCACGACTGGTAATCAGAGAGGTAGCAGTCAGCGGCGCTAATGCCGCACCAACGCCGTAGAAGCCATGGAGGATTCCCATCAATCTGCTGCTCTGTGCCATAACACCAATCCAAGCATTCCATGCGGCGTCGAGCACACCATTACCTAGTCCAGCCAACACAAAGAGGGAGACAAGGACGGGGTAGGGCGGATGTTGTGAACAGGCGACATAGGCAACTATATGACATGTCGATCCCAGAAGTGCAACGCCGCGCTGTCCAAAGCGCTCATGAGTCCAATTGCTGACTAGCGCAGCAGCAACATACCCGACACAAGGGGAAAGAAAGACCACAGACACAGCGGCATAGTCTAATTCGTAGTAGTCACAAAGCTAGATCGCCAAAGTAGTCCTCGTCAGATGCTAGGCCATATCGGAGAAGATTCCTAAAAGAGGGTAACGTACATAAGGGACGAGTGCCTGGTAGAAGAATGCGTTAGCAGGCTGACAAACATCTGTGGAACTTTACACGTACTCCGTATGTGCCATCGTTCGCACCGACCACAATGAAGCAAAAGAAGGTAGCGAGCACCCGCCATGTCTGAATGGCAGACCCATTCCACCTTGCTAGAGCTAGTTCTGGTCGATTCAGTTCACTGTCAACGTCTCTCTGTGGTTCTAGTGTCTGATATGCGCCTGCTACAGGTTTCGCCACAGCCGATTGTAACAGTGGGGTTGTCGGATCATCTGAAGGGGTGGTACGCGACATTGTGCTTCGCTCATCTGACAGGCGACATCGAGGGTATTCAAAGCGCGGGATCAAAGAAGTGACGGTGCAGGACGCAAAGATATCACCGTGGCGGATGAGGTACCGCTGGGAGTGAGAATAAGATCTGCTCGAACTGGACTTGCGTATGGTGGTATCTCGGAATTGACATTTCTCCGAAGCCACAACCCAATAAGGAATCTACATGATACATCCAAATGCGGTGCCCGAATTCGGTATCATTCTTAGGATGCCTCTTAATGCTGACTGGTATTGTCTCCAGCTTCTAGCGAAAATACACAAGCATATGAGATCAGTACCAACTAGAAGTGTGTAGATCTCACTGTCTCGATACAAAATAAAGAAATAGAACTGCAACCCAGGTGAAAAATGGCAGGGATGGGAGTGCTTTGGCATTCTGCGGCTAGCCTAAGCCGGCGCGGGCCGCACGGCATTCTGTTAGCTTCTCGGGCCTACTTTGGGAAGTATAGTAGGATTGCAACCTTACACTCGCAGCGGCAATGATAAAAATGGATTCATTAGTCCCCAGTATAACCAAGTAGCTCTATCATTACTGAAGTCACTGTGACATGACATCCACAGATCCCCGGCCCGGGCAAGGCAGATGGAAGATGTCATTTTGGACATTGTAAGGTGGGTCAAATCTGGTTCTCAGTCCCGCATCCTTATCTATCTGAATTAGTATATATTAAAGCGCAGGATATTAACGGATATCCAGCAGCCGCAAACGGAACGAAGCTAGAATGATAAGCACTCCCGCTCATGACACCTGTCAAATGATTTGTCATCTCTGAAATAATGCGTCTAACCGTCATCACAATTATGAAAATAGCACGGCTGGCTGCGGGGGGGAAGGCATCTCTTGTCGTCCGGTATCTCAGCCAGTGGTACCTCAGTCCTCATGCGATGCTGTCCAATATGGCATAGGAAGGTTGATGTTTCCATTGGAACATGCGACTGTAATTCCAAATAAAAAAAGGTATTCCCATCGACCCGTCCGATCACGCCTTGTAATTCTGTACTGGAAAGTCTGTTCATCCGGCCGAATGACGTGCGGATGTCGCCGAGGTCACTTATCACTGTAGCTCCTTCCGGGAACATGTAGTGCAAGCACCTATGGTTGATTAGACCATTTCCGTTTGCAAACAAGCTGAAAGGTCAACCCATCCATTGACGGTCTAGATTCACACGATGCCACCCGTACACTGCTGGACGCGGGCCTATTACGGCTTCTACTTAAAGGTCCTTCGACTCACATCGCTAGATCAAAGGGAAGGTACATACAACGCCTCGGTTATAGTATTCGAGGTCTATTTTCTATAGCCTCTCACACTATGGGATCCCTCCAGGAAGACACATACCTGTATCAAAGTGTTGCGGACAGTAGTCCTTGTCCTACAGTCAAGTCTGCGGATGGCCTTTACTTTACTCTTGAAAGTGGACAAAAGGTCCTAGATGCGACAGGCGGGGCTGCCGTTTCGGCTATCGGTCATGGCAACAAAGCTGTCATAGATGCAATCGTTCGCCAATTGGCTGCGGTGACATACTGTCATCCTGGATATTTCCAGAATACCCCTGCCCTTGAACTGGCTGACTGGCTGGTCAAGTCTACTGGCGGACAGCTGTCACGGGCCTGCATACTTGGATCCGGTTTGGCACTACTTTCTCTTCATTGATACAACAAACAATCCTCGTGTGAAGCTAATCTCGGCCGGGTACAGGCTCTGAAGCTGTCGAGGCGGCGCTGAAACTTGCGTACCAGTATTTTGCCGAACTGTCGCCAGGATCGCCGCGACTAAACTTCATTTCGCGACGAGGCTCGTGGCACGGATGTACCATTGGCGCACTCTCCGTGGGCGATATCAAGGCCAGAACGACACTCTTTGAGCCTCTCTTACTGAAGAATGTGTCGAAGGTGTCTCCTTGCCACCCCTGGCGAGATATGAAGGAAGGGGAAACCGTTGAGGAATATGTCGCTCGGCTGAAACAGGAGCTGGAAGACGAATTCCACAGGCTTGGTCCCGAAACCGTTTGTGCCTTTATCGTGGAGCCCATGGTCGGCACTGTAAGTCCGGCACTCCGGATCTTACACTCTGAATGCATCCTAATCATACCATTCCTTACCAGGCCCTAGGTTGTGTTACAGCGTTGCCAGGATATCTACAAGCCATGAAGGAAGTCTGTCACCGCCATGGCGCCCTTCTAATCTTCGATGAGATTATGTGCGGGCTCGGCCGCACCGGCGCGCAGCATGCGTGGCAGCACGATGGCGTTGTCCCCGACATTCAGACCGTGGGAAAGGTCCTCGGTGGAGGATACGCTCCGATCTCTGCGCTGTTGGTTCACGAGCGTGTTATTCGTGGGTTGAAAGAAGGCAGTGGGATGTTCGCTCACTCACAAACCTATCAGGCACAGCCGCTCACCTGCATTGCAGCGCTGGCCACTCAGCGCTATATTCAGGAAAATAACCTGGTCGAGAACGCTCGTTGCATGGGTAAGTACCTTGGGGAACAGCTCCAACTGCATCTTAGAGAGCACCCTCTCGTGGGAGACGTTCGAGGACGAGGGCTGTTCTGGGCCGTGGAGATCGTGCAGGATAAAGCCACTAAGGCTCCTTTCGATCCCAAGCTGAACATTGCTAAGCGGATCCGGAGTCGAGGGCTTGAACCTGGCTATGACATTTGCATTTTCAGTGCCACCGGGGCTGCTGACGGTTGGAACGGCGACCAATTTCTTTTGGCGCCACCGTACACCGTTCAAAAGGAGGACGTCGATGAAATCGTGAAGCGTGTTGCCAAGGTGATGGACAGTGTGTGGAAGGACATCGAACCCGTCGTAAGGGCATAAGGAAAATATAATTATTATCCGATTCTAATTTAATCAGTCGGGAGCGAGTCAATACCTAAAATACCGACCAAGCTGTGATAGTTAATATTATGCACTAAAGTAATATTTCAATGGGCTATATCAATCTAACCTTTGTTCAGATAAACTAACTAATGAGACGCCTGACTCTAGCCATAATAATATGAAACTAGTTATAACTAAAGTAAGATACTACTACCACATGCCGTTCAGGGTAGCTTAGATACCGGCCTTCAACCCTATGGTAATGTATCCCTCGGGTGATTGTCAATGACCAGCGCAGTATACGACAAGCATCACAACCCTGGATAGCACACATGCGGCTGTGTTGGCCCGAGTGGCACTGGCATTCGCTCTTTGCCTATATGTTGTCTTTCGACCGCGCAAGTGAGCTACTCTCAGACCTGCATCTCAGCTATTCAAGGGACACAATACTTTAATATTTGTTTAACTTAGTAATGTGAATGTGCTATCTGTAGCAAAGCATAGCAAGACAATTTAAAGACCCAAGGGGTACAAGCAAGGACCGCAAGCAACCGGTCATGATATTCTGGTAATCTCATCACTCTCGTTAGCCACTGCCATAGTCGACCGGAGAACTATACGCCGGATCATAGTGCATCTCCCAGTAAGCATCCCATATCTTCTTTGTGATAGGACCAACCTGGCCGTCATTGACTGGTTGACCATCAAGCAACGTGATAGGCATAATGCCACCGGCAGTTGTGCTCATGAAGATTTCATCACAGTGATAAACCTGCTCCACTGGCACGACCTCAAGGCGGATGTCGATGTTGTTGGCTCGGGCAACATCAATCACACTTTTACGTGTAATCCCTCGCAAGACACCTCGATCAGGAGTATAGAGGACTCCGTTCTTCACCAAGACGATGTTGAATCCGGATCCTTCAGTAAGGTTGGTGTCTCCATCAGTGAGGAAAGGGTACGTAGCGCCACGGTCCATCGCCTCAAAAAGTCCCTTTGTTAAGTCACCCCACTGTAGATTTTTGATCGTAGGGTCGAATGCACCCGGGGGTGTTCGGCGCACAGTCCTTGTAATGATAGCACTGCCCCCAAGGCGCTGTTTCTCAGGCTCCATCACCCAAATGTATGGGAGAACAAGCAAGTATATATTGTTATTAAACAGGTCCTCGGGCTTCGAACCACGCACACCTGTGAGACCACGTGTCACGATAACTTCCACAAATGCATCCCGGATACCACTCTTGGCCACCATTTCAGCCAGAATAGTTTTTACCTTACTCGGTGCAAGTGGGAACTTGAGCCGCATTTTATCGCAGCTTTCCAGGATCCGTTGCATATGATCATCCAATCGAAAGAAGCGTCCATCCCAGACCGTCGTAACATCATAAGTTAGGTCACTGTGCATGAAGCCTTCGTCGAGGAGCGGTATTCTGGCGTCGCTGGGCGGGACAAACTTTCCTTCCACATAGGCAATGCCCTTAGAGAAAGGATTGTCGCTCCGTTCGAGAAGCTTCTTGCGCACATGATATTCCGAAAACACTTTGTCCATAGACGCCATGACGAGTGTGGTTTCACTGTAGTTCCATGTAGAAAGATCGTATCAAAATTCGATCTACCTGCAAGTGAAGAATTGAGCGGACTGGTGTAAATACTCATTTATATGAGCGAGCGGAGTGGGAGTTTGCCCCACGCTTATTTCTGAGTGAGCTGCTCCCCGGACATGACGTACGCAAAGTCGGAATTCCGTGGTTGTTGTACATATGGTAAATACCGAACATGGCAACTGGATACACCGTCCGGGTTCTCTGGGGTAGGCATCTTATTCGTTGATAGATTATTGGCTTGATTGTGTTCGCATTACTGAAGCAAACTCTACTTCAGTGGTCTGATGCTCCACTACCGAATATTTCTCTCGAGCACATTACTACATTAAATCGTCATTACCAAAGTCGAAGGAAACAGAGATGTAGCGAGGAAAGCTGCATCATATCTGAGATAATTCTCTCACTGCTATCTAGGCACTGGCTTTACAATTTATCGTTGTTCGGTATGGCCTCTTCGGCACACAGAGGATCCAGCTTACTATTATTAGACTGGCCACCAGGGATATATCCTTCATTTTTCGCTAGCTCAGCGTGTGGGAGGCTGGCCCTCGACGTCATTGCTGCATGCGTTTTGGTAGATTTCCTGCACGGTGGCAAGGATGGAGGCCCAGTCATTAAATGGCACAAACGGAATCCCACGCTGCTCACAGTACCGGACGAGGCCTTGTGCAGCTGTCAGTACTGATGTCATTTGGCTTACGAAGGAATTCGTATATGGCATGCACGTATCGGAGAGCTGACTTACCCATCCCGCTCTTCGCAAAGAGGATGTCTGTTTCCGATGCGGCGGACAGATCGGACACACCATCTCCAGCATACAGCAATATCGGGCGAGATTTGCCACTGAGGGCAGCGTACGGTTTGATTGCGAGTGATTTATCATGGCCGAATGAGCTATGTGGTCCAGGTCTTCAGTGACAAGCCCACGCTCTGCCCGTATGAGGGTTTCCTTACCTGTTATCGTGGAAGGAAATTTGCCAGCCACCATTCATGTTGATATCCTTGCCGTTGCGAGGCTCGATGTCGTTGGCAACTACGAAGATGTTGTCCGGCTTGCTGCCCAAGAGTCTCTCCAGCAAGGCCTTGATGATGGGCGCCATGCCAGAGGACAGCACTACTATGGGAATGTTATGTTCTCGTGCCCACTGATAGAATGTAACGAAATGCGGATCGTATTGGATGTTCTCTTCGAGGACGCGAAGACATTCGTGGAACGGGGTTCGCACGCTGTCAAGCATGGTCTGGAATGACTCCCTGGTACCGTTAATAACTGCCTGGTTTTACTTCGCACCGCTCAAAGCATCGCCTGTCTCACCGAAACGTTATATTTCCTTTCAGGAGTTCCAGTTCGAGCACCTCGCGCTTGTCCAGTCCAAACCCATGATTGTCAACCTCAAAACGTCAGCGGATGCTCCCTGCGTCAAGATGGAGCCCGGTACCAGGTAGTCATTGCCTGTACGCTTTCAGTAATAAGATCGTAAAGATCTAGGATAGAGATGGCTTCTTACAATCTTGCAATGTGATAGTTCCGTCAAAATCCGTGAAGAATATGATCTTAGGGTTGTTCTTGAGATATGGGAGATCGCGCATGTCTGCGAATTAGTATGAATTTTCTGGTTGCTTTTTTTTTTTACCCTTCCTTTTTCCTTTAGAGAAAAAAGAAATAGAAAAAATGATCACACGATGTCCAGTACCCAGGACTTTGAGGTATTAAAGGCAATAGGTACCAGTTTGACAATTGTCCACGCAAACAGCGTTGATCCACATACCATGACCAAATGCGATTTTCCGTCACTTTCCACTTCGACGGAAAGAGAATATGGCGCAAGCAGCCCTGCATTGCATGATTGCATGGACTGGATTTGGATTATCTTTCCTTAATGCGGTAAACCCGCATCGGTTACATTCCATCAAAGATAGAGAGAAAAACAGGACCACTGTGAATCCCTGCAAAAGCAGCCAAAGCAAGAGGGCTTTAGAGTAGCTTTGCATCAAGTTCTTGCTTATATTAAAATTACTTCCATTTCTCATATATCTATAAAATTGAGGTTTAAATACCAAGAAACTATTATATTTGAACTTACAGAGCCTTTATATTAAGTGAATAGAAAAAGAGAAGTAAGCTGTCTTTGTAAAAGAGCTAACTTGTCGGGGCAGGATACCCGTCGAATTGGCAGAGAAAGCAAGGGATTCGCAAGGGGTAACAGTACGTCTGTATAGATACAGAGACCGAGATTCATCAATCGTCAGTCGGACGCCTGGTTTTATCTACTAAAGTTCGATTTCCTTAATGTCAATGGGTCGTGGACTAAGGCGGCCCCACGCCAAGCTTTCTGTATAGCTCCATGTTGCTATCCATTACAGTCTTCATATTATACAGGAAATCAAAACCCTTTTTTTTCCTTTTCCTTTTCCTTTTCCTTTTTATTTTTTTTTTTGCGCTTCCAAATTTGGTGACAATTTGTTTGTAGACCTTTCACGCGCTGCTCGTCCTTTCTCTGTGGATCCACGCATATCCCCAAGCAGACGACCATGTCAGTATCCGAACCACTGTCCAAATTGCTCGATAAGGGCTGGTTTCCAAGACTGCCAAGTGGGTTCATGGGAGTCTCCCCCAATATCCTCATGGTCATAAGGGCCATCATCCGGACCGTTCCCAACAGTGATTAGAATTGTCTCAGCTACGCTAGGGGTACCGTCCGCGTCAAGGACGAACAACATCCAGTGCCCCGGAATTGTAATTCCAGGTTTACTTGGGATAGTAAAGCGGTACTTGTGGCCGCTGACTTTCTTGAGTGGAAGAGGAATGCGCCGCTGGTCGGTATTCACTGTGTGAGTGGTACTTCCTAGGCGGATAAAGGAAGCGCTGGAGACGTCGGAGTCAGTTCGAACCCACCCCTCCTGTCCAACGTGAAGCTTTCTACTGGCAACAGATATAATTTTAGGGCGTGGGCGACGATTCCCATTGCTGTTGAGGAGGTAAGGCGGAGTGAATATCTGAGCATCGTAGTGGTTGGCTGTGCAGTTTCCACAAAGACCACCACCACCGTTGAGAACGGTGGCATCGGGGAGTAAGATGGACCAGCTATGGTAGACGCGGACAAGGTTGTTGGTCTGCAGCTGGATAAAGCTGTTGTTATGAGGAAAGTAAAGCTCCGGGGTCAGCTGTACATTCTCCTCATTAAAAGCAAGCCCGAAGGTTTGGCCGCCTGCTATAAACACAGTACCGTCTGGCAGAACGACGGTCGAGTGAAAGACGCGTTTATAGTGCATCCCTCCTCCGTTTTGTCCTGCTACTTCAACCCGAGGTGTCTCGCAGGGTTCTCCAATTGTGATAAGGCGAGCATTGTTCGTGGCGTGGGACATCTCATAGTCTGGGGAGCCACCCAATGTGAGTATTTTGCCTGCTAGAGCATCAAACATTACAGCACTGCCGGACATGGAGTCTTCATCTCCAATACGGGGACCCGCAGGGGTAACCGTGCCATTACCCCCAACATGATACCAATTCATAGCCTTACTAGGACCCGCTTGAAAGACAGACAAGTCCTTCCAGCCAAAGAGCCAGCCATGGTTATCGGCTCTCCATCTGCCTTCGGTATCATCTGTCAGCATAGGATCAACCTTGGCCCCTGGAAGCTTAGTCCAGCTTCTAGCCTTGGGGTCGTAAATCTCTCCATCTTTCGGTCTGCTTGAACCGCCACTCCAAGAGCCACCAATCACAAAGACTCGTCCATCAGAGACCGTCACAGAGGACTGGTATCCACGACGCATGCGCATCGGGGGGCCAGGGATCCATTTATCCTCTACAGCATCATAGAGGCTAGTCTGCTCCGCATCATTACCACCTGTTACAACTAGCATTCCGGTGCCATCAATAGAGGTCCCCGGACAGAACATATCATGATGGGTATCAGTCACCACTCGGCTTGAAATGTGGCCTCCAGTTGGGTCCCATCGACTCATAGCCGTTTGCCCACCAGGGGTGGAGAAGTACAAATCTTGAGCCCAGGACGACCATACGGCTATCTTACCAGATGCCTCATTGGCCGCCGATACCGGCACAATCGGAAAATCGAGAGTTGGACCCCAAGCGCCAAGGGACGGATTCTGAGGGATAGCATAAGGCGTTGCGTAGATGCTCAGCTCGGAGATACCAACCCAGGTTTGGTTCGTGCCACGTGTATCTGCAACAAGCCGCACATATCGAGCTGATTTAGGTTCAAATGTCGAAAGCTTCAGTCTGCCTTCCGCAGGCCACGTGCCGTACGCGACAGGCTCGCCCCAGTTGTTACCATCCTCGCTCAGAGAGACCTTATGTTGGGTGATCAGGCCTTGTGCGTCGTCCCTCTGCGGCGGCAGCATGGCGACAGCACTGACATGGTAGGCAGGTCGACCCAGGTCAACCGTGATAACATGTGATGTCATTTCGTCACGGCTTCGCCAGTAAGTGCTATTGTCACCGTCAACAGCTTTCTTACATTCATCTTCAGTATCGCTGTTGCAGAAGACCTTCCAGTCGGTACGATCGACCAAACAACCGCTGTATGGGGGCGATTGGTCGGTGAAAGAGGGAATGTAGGACGGTTTATCAGCTTTAAGTGAGACATGCTGCGCCCCTAAGGGGTTCAAGGAAGGACGACTGATAGCGTCCACCCCTCCAGTGACTGCAGCAAAAATCAGATATGGCTGGTGCGGCCGCATGTTGATAATCGGATCCCAAGTAGAACGATGAGCATGGTAGTGCTAGTAGTACTACAAGCCGGCGAAGAGTTTCGCTATTGCTTGTCTTATAAGTAAATTATTCTGAGTACTATAGTAATAACCGTGGAACGACCAAGGTAGTTGGCTGGGGAGGATGTGAGGCTCATCTCCTCACCCCCCATCTCAAGCAAGTGACGTGTTATGTGCCTTCCTCGTTGGCATGCATGAACGTAGGTCCGACCGGAACCCATTGGCGTCACCATGTAAGGAAGGAATGGATGTTGCCTATTTGGCAAACTAGGGTCCAACTATAGAGTCCTTTCTGTTACGGCGGAATTTTAGTCTAGATGCGCGGACAAGTCTAGCAATCCACTAGCTATTACATTGGCCCGCCTACGATGACGTTCTTTGGCCGCCTACATGCATCGGAGTACACAAGTTCGCTATGTGGAGTGATCTCACCTGTCATCGCCGGATCCGGCGGGGAAGCCGCCGGCCTGCGGTCAATCAAAGTTTAATGCTGATGCCAAGATGCACGTTTGCGGAGGAGGCGTAAAGGACGACTGGTAATTGGCTAATTCGGCAACTAACCGATTGGTAGCTTCGAGCTTAAAGCATGAAGAGATCTAGACTGAGAGATCTCAAACTGGTACATGTATTTGGAATACCAACCACTGGAATATCCTACACTCAAATCAGCTGGCTGACTAGAATGCGCGATCAGCTGGAATGGCAGCTGGGATTGACATCTAGATAATTCTGCGTGTAATTATTGCGTAGGTCATCCCTAGAGAGCGGAAGCTATACGTCACGTTGGATTGAGATGAATGATGCTCGTGTGTGTAGAATGTCACCTCTTCAACGGCAGTTGAAAGAGCCCATTCTGGGAACCTTCGTTCCACGAAGGTCGAGTAAAACAAACATCTTAAAAACCGCTATTGTGCTCTGACAAAGATTGGCCGTGTTTCTTGTTTGTTCGCCTCAGACAATATACACGTACAACTTCACTTACGACTTTCCAATATGGCTGGCTTTGATCTGGAGAACATACAGGGCGATATATGGTAGGTGGCATCCCTTACGGATGAGGTTGTTGCAATCATCCATTGCTGACACGGCCTGGATTACCACGTAGGCCCGGTCTGCCCAAACGACAGGAGATATTTCTGTTTTTTCGCATTGCGGATGACGCGAGTCAACGGCAGAAGTTCAAAGAGTATCTTCGAAAACTTATTCCCGACATCACAAGTACCAAAGCTGTTTTGGACGCTAGAGCTCACATTGGCGAAGAAAAGAAAAAAGCTGCTGCCGCCGAGGAGGCCTCGAAGCTGTTGCCATGGTCCGGTGTCAACATTGCCTTTTCTTCTACAGGCCTAGCTGCTGTAAGATGTTCAACATACTATTACATGAAGGATCCATGCATGGTGTAGAGAGTCTGCTAACACTTATAATGCAGCTGGGAAAGCATATAATGAACACGAAATCAAATATGGAAGAGATCAGAGGAGACCCGGCGAAATGGCGCGAGCTGAAGAAAAACCAAATTCGCGGGGACTTGTTCGACAAGGGCATGTTTGACGACTTGGTTTACGAGGGCTGGGATGATCCACAGGAGTTACGTCGAGAATACAAGAAAGACCCGGAGACAAAACAGCGGCAGATTGACGGAGTAGTCTTTGTGGCTGCAAGCACACAGAAGCAGCTGGAGAAGGCCGTTGGACTGGTCAAGGAGAAACTGCATATGCGTGACATAGACGATGATATTGACGAGGATGCTGCCTGCAAATTGGTGTTGACCCGGAAGGGAAAGGCCCGACCAGACCAATTGAAAGGCAAGGAACAGTATGTGCATCGTGAAGTATCCCAGTTCGCTCCAATCGGATCTGACCCCATCTCAGCTTTGGCTTCGAAGACGGAATTTCACAGCCCCAACTTGAAGGGCTAGACCCACCCCCGAAGGGGGAAAAAGAGCCCAAAGCCGTCCCTCCAGGGTAAGCCCGTGCCATACATCCTGTCTCCCCTGATGAACTCTGGCGATAACTCTGGTCATATGCTTCTGCAATTGGTAATGTTAACTACTGCTTTTCGAAGCCTCATCCTTATCGGGCACGACGGTGACGCCTTGAGACAACCCGAGTGGACCAAGGACGGCAGCTTCATGGTTTTCCGCGACCTGCAGCAACTCGTTCCTGAGTTCGATCAGTAAGGCAATCCCTCTTTCGGTGCACTGTGCTTCGAACACTGGGCTAATGGCACTGGGACTGAAGATTTTTGGAAGACAACGCTCCTGCATCTCAGAGCGCCGAGAAAAGTCCTGCTTCGGCTAACAAGCTCGGTGCGCTCATAATGGGGAGGTGGAGGAATGGTTGGTCTCATTCTTGACTTACTCGTGCAGTTCACTGACATGTGGCCTTTTATGCAGGGACTCCGGTTGATCTGAACCCGAACGATGATAATGATCCTTCTCTTTTCAGATCAAATAACTTCAATTACACTCCAGTTGGATCACACGATAGATGTCCATTCGCTGCGCATATCCGCAAAATGCGCCCCAGAGCTGATCTCGATGACGATGAGGCAGTCATCATCCGCCGTGGAATAGCGTATGGACCCGAGGTCTCGGAAGAAGAAAAGCGAAATAAGAAGACAAGCAAGGAGCGTGGTATGCTGTTTGTCTGCTATCAAAGTGACATTAGAAACGGATTCAATTTCCTGACTACGCGTGAGACAGTCCTGATCCACATTTTCAAGTTTCCACGGATGACTGACTGGGTTCACAGGCTGGGCTAGCAACCATCACTTCCCAGGTAATAAGTACGATGCTGTCGGCCTCAGTGGGCCGGGCATCGATGGGATTGCCGGCCAGCGTCTTGCCCACCACCCTCCTCGAAACATGGGCTTGCCAGACGGCAAGAAGCCTAGTGAGGCACGGCTGAACCTAGGGACGTGGGTTATCCATAAGGGGGGGGAATACTTCTTTGCCCCGTCCCTCAAGGCGCTTCGGGAAGACCTGTCGTCGGCTCCTGTGCGAGCCAAGCTTTAAATCAGTGGTGATAATATAATAGCATGCTATCACAAGTAGAAGCCCAGTAGGTATTGATAATCCACCAGAGGGGTATTTGCTGTGTTCTTAAGTTAGTCCTGATTAACACCCACTTCTGTAATAGCTGTTACTGTCAGATTTCTCTCAGAGTGCCTTTATCAGTTTACAGGTAGCTTTCATTCTTTCAAAGGTATTGGGGTATAGTAAAGAGATCTGATAGTGAATTAAATGCGGACTAATGTTTAAAAGGGGCAAGCAGTGCTCACAGCACATTTCGTCAAGGGGCTCTCCAATTGAGTGAAAAGTAGCATATATGAGCAGACTCCCATTTTCCATATGTAGCCGTCCCAAGACGTCTGACCCAGATGGTCTGGGTATTATTCTGTTCACTACATCAGGCTGCATCCCACTGTGCCAGTCGCAGATTATAGACCCTACCAGATAACAATAAATCCCAGGGTACCCATTATGACTCGGCCGTACCAACTGGTTTTGCTATGGGGACTATACACCACACAGGCTGCACTGCTTTATTAGCTAGTACTAGATTCACCTCTGCATAGCTAGATTCCTGCTGGGGAGGTAGGGGTGGCCCCTAAGGTTAGGATTAAAAGTGGTGTAGAGAGATAAATATCTTACCACCACAATCCTAATCACCATCATCTAATATGTAAAATCTACAATAACTCTGATTTTTCTTGGTGAATCTAATATTTTATTTATATATAGGTATATAGGACTATTCTCTATCTATATATATAAAAATATCTCCCAATCTAAACCCTTACCTTCACGTTACATTACAAAAAGGAAAAAAAGTCCTCTAGGGGATACTGCACCCCATGAGTTGCTGAAGCTGGGGCCCAGGACAAGTGTTTTATGTTCATCTTTTGGTGGATTATCGGTACGTACCTAGTTTCCGTTTCCCGCCCAATTATTAAACACATAAGTCGACCCGCTGTATTAACAAGGACGTCATTCCAGAGCTGCTGCCAATTTTTGCTCGATTGGAACTTAGTAAAAACAACGAATGGGTAGTGCGTTACGACATTCCGGAAGACGCCGAGTTCCATTGCAGTGTTGAAGACATGTTCCGTGACGGTGCCATACACAAAATGCCCAAGAGAGGGGAAACCATTCCCTTTTTGGCCAGAAGGAACCTTCTCAGCTGTGACTCGGGATATGCTTATGCTCTAACCTTGGAGGCAAGAGACTATCGGGAGATGTTTTCCCATAGTATGTCACCGCAACTAAAGTAGAGAAGGACTCCTACCATCCACATACCGTCCAGGAGAGATACTAGAATTACTTTGACTTCATGTTTTAGGGGTGTATCCCATATAATTTAAAAGGTCCCTGCTATGTATTCTGTCGAGGGACTATTAAAGGAGAGGCAAGAGGTTGCCTTAAAGATTTCTGCACAGAATACAGAGGGTAATAAAATTATTTTATAGGGTGCGCTGATTCTTCAATCTATATCCAGAGATGTCTGACTTGCTAAGGTAAGGTACCATAAAAAATCGGCGGAAAATGACTAATTTCTGGCTATCTTAGACAGGGTGAAGTGAACCTTTTAAACCTAAGCTTTTTAGGTGGAAAGATGATGATAAAAGGTATTGATTAGTGGTGATATGAACAGGTAATCTCAAATTCATTTTTGGGCTTTTTGGTTTTCTCCCAATGGCTTGCTGTACACTGAATGGCCTGTCGTTAACACTCCAACATTTCAACCAACAATATTCGCGTATTGAATGCAAATGAGATTGTTGAAATTCGAGCAATTCTGGGATTAATCCCGTTTCGGGTTCGATAGATGTGCTCAAGGTCAAAGCCGTCTGACAACGTTGCGTCGGATGCTTGTCGAAATGCAGCTTTGAGGGCTTCACTTGATATGTTTACACCTCCACCTTGTAGAACAACACCTGCATGCCGTGATTCCAAGTTATATACAAGTCAAACCACAGGAGGCATAATTATTGCCTGTAGCACAAATGTCTCTGTAAGGAAATGTTGTTGAGAAACTCCACACCAGCGATAATATTCAATCCTGTTCCAAGCAGCTGATGCCTACAATGTGGGTTTGCATTACCACGGCGCCTGTAACAGACTGTTCTCTGTCTTGTCGCCTCCCAACCAAGTCAGAATATTGGTATCGACTCGCGACCAATTATTGAAATTGGTTTGCCTTTGGACCGTCATTTGCTGCTGAAGCAAATCTTCATTGATCTTCATGAACATCCGCTCCCAGAGTCCCACGTATTCCTCTAGGAGCTCATATTGGTTTTCTTTGGTCTGCCAAGCCAATCGCGTATTGGCTTCCCTGATGACCATGAGCTCATCATTATAGGGATGGTGCGTCCTAACCCGTGGCGACGGTAAATCGGCGTCGGGGTTGTTTGAGCCCTCGTAGTACGGAATTATGTTCCCTAATAACGATCGAAATGGTGTGGTTGCGCAGCTCTCCTGGCTTGGCCTTTTCTGAATCAGAACATTCTGTTTTTTTGATATGTAGCCGTTCTCTGTTAAGGCACGGCATGACCACTGTCCATCGTCGTCAAGGCCCTTCCCATTGTACTGATACCGGAATCTCACACAAGGGTGGACAAATTCCATTGATCTGTGGTGATTTTTTCTAGTATTCTCATCTGGCGTGTACATTCCTGGTTTCCGCGGGGGTATAGTTCTGCATGGCATGCAGAGGTAGTCTGGCCAGGTAGTCAGTCCCTTTGGGTTGTATATTTTACCCATGCCCCATTCCCGCACTTCGACGCCTGGGTTTACCCATTTGAAGAGGCGATTCATTTCTGGGCGGCTAAACTCTACTCCAAGGGAAGTCAGTTGGTCCGCCATCCCTATTAATGCTCAGTGATGTTCGGTTGGCTTCGTGTCTCACTGCAGTAGAGAAGCCACTTACAAGCAAGAGAAATAGTCGCAATCTGTTGGTCTGGCCAACCCCCTCCAACATTACCATGGTTCCCAGGAAACCAGACCTGTCTTAGCTGGGTGTTGTTGTTGTCCTCCCCCAGAAACCATAACGTCGGACCGAAGGACGTTCGCCATTCATCCAAAGCCAAGGCATGAAAGGCATAGTCAATATTAGGATCGACGTAACAATCGGCAAACCGAGCCTTCACGGTACTGTAAGCTTATATTAGAGTAAAGGGCCTTGCTGCGTACCTCGTCGTCACTTCGGCTGCTTTGATAGTGAAAAAACGGCATTCTAGGCATACCAAGGCTCCCAACTGTGTCCCAAACACCTACACTAGGCGTAAGAAGGCCACCATGCATTGGAGTACTTGTTTAATGCGCGTAAAAAACTCACCGACAGCTCTGACTCTTCCTTCAACAGGTGTCCACACTCTCTTCCCGTCGACTACTTCCGACACTTCCAGGGCCATTCCATACTAGAACACGTTAGTCACTTGTCACATATAAGTAACCAGTGCCGAGACAAAAGTTGAGAGCAAGTTAAAAGGCAGAGAATGAATACCTGACGCAGCAACTCCCTATAGGCTCCCGCTTTCTCTTGAGCCCCCAAGCTTTTGTCACACAAAATTTTAAACAAATTGACTTTGTCATTTGTGGCTCGTTTTTGTAGATCGCCTGTGGTGTAGTTCCATGTCTCGCACTGGATTTCGCGTCCCTTCAATATCTCGGGGGTAAACGCTGCCAAATGCTTTTTCTCGTCATATGTCAATGTAGAATTCCAATCTTGCCACGTACGATAGTCACGGAAAATTTCCGGTAACTTCTGCAAACCAACTCTGTTGAGTATTCCGAGCTTGCAGACCATATCTGCCACAGATCTCGCTGTGAAAGCACCACGAGAGAAGCCTATGAGAAAAATTTCATCACCCGGGCTGTAATTGTCGCATATAAACCGGTAACAGTCTATGATGTCCTGCGACCAATTCCTGTTAGTCAACTTAGACTTTCTAAAGCCCTCATGCTGCCCGTGATGTTTATAGAACCAACCTGGAGGACTCCAGTCCCAAGGAATCCGCCTAAAAAACGAGCCGTTTTAGACTGCTCAGTCCCCGCCCCTCGATGATAGTAGACTATCTGCAGCTTGCCACTGCAACATTTATCTGCGATTGCAGCTGACATACGGCTGACATTTGTCTGGGGGGCACACAATTCAGTGCTGCTCGGCCGGTCATAAAATTGTCACAAAACATTCCAGACATGGTACCAGGGCCGGATAGCAGATGTACATACGAGTTATTCCAAGTCCCATCGCAGCATATGAATAGGCGTTTGCTGTTAATATATTTCCCATCCTCCACCTTATGAATGCACGGCAAATCATGGGTGGAGTTGGATTGTGAAATGGAGTGATTGTTTTCCATTTTGCAACAAGATATGATAAGAAATGATGCAGTGATTGAAGCACATAGAGTGATATTGAACCACTCAGCTTCTAGGCTATTTTATAAGCCTTTCACGGCTCTAAATACACGCCATCCCTTGTCTACAGCCCTCAGTACCCCGATTCATGAAATCACTGATCCTCTGTGATTGACCAGCCTAGCATCATCTAGAACTCTACACTTATGATTGCCGTTTTCAGGTGATGGTAAAATCGCATGATTAGACCCTTTGTGGCGACCAAATGAAGCTGGGTGTATTGAGTCAATTTTACCGGAACTGTCTTACAATTCAACAACTTTTTGAATATTGTGATGTAATGCCGCCTCACCCTCATATCCATGTGGGTTGGACTGTGGATAATGGATATATCCATACTACCTAGTCAGGTGACCTCCAGTATTTAGATTACCATATATCTTTCTAGTATTCTAGCCACACCACAAGGATATCTATATATTTTATTTAATATTATGATAATTAACTATATGAATATTATATATTACCTATTATAAAGGGTAAAATAGCCTTATATAAGGGGGAAGGGGTGCCCAGTAACCTTAAGGTGAAAAGTGGTGCAGAGATATACCATTACCATCCTGATCACCATCGTCTGAAAATATAAAATTAACCATAACTCCTGTTTACCTTAGTAAACCTAATATTTTATTTTATATAAAAATATATCCCTATATAGGCCTTGATTAGGCTAGATAAGCTTATCAGTGCTTAGAGGCCTTAGGTCACATGCACTCAATGGGTTAACCCATATCCACATGGGTTGGATCAAGCCTACCTAGATCCAACCTGAACTGCAGATTGGGTGGGTTGGATGTGGATTTGCGGATTGGGTCAGCCAGTCTAATCCTGTAGCAGGTACTCCGTAAACTTAGCGCAAACCACATACGTAAGAGAGAATGCGGCCCTGCCTCCAGACTCTCCACCCCCATAAAGACGGCAGGGAATTCCAGCCAGCCATTATCATGAACAGTGGGGTTTGAAGAAGCAAATTTACATAGACATACAACTTCCCCAAGGTTAGAGAAGCCTTCTTATTAAGTGATAGGATTATACTCCGTTATCTGGTATACACTTAGAAGCGCTTATTCACAACGTGCTTCGAACTCTTTAGTTCAGAAATCTTCTGTCCAAAAGGGGGAAGCAAGCACCAGGTTTTATTATATGCTGAAAGTCAAGTGGAAATGCCAGAGGGAGAGATATTAGAATAAGGGAAGGGCGTCAGGTTTCGTTATATGCTGAAAGTCAAAACTGAAGTGCCAAGGGGACAAGGTATCAAATAGGGGGCCATCAAGCTAGGAAGTGGCGCAGGTAAATTTTAGAATCTATACAACTCGCAATGGAGACTGAAATTCAGCCGGATCTTGAGAAAGTATAACGATGCTACGCACTCTTGACGTATGCCATACAGCAGAGCGAATTCCTCAGATATTTTAGAGAGGCATTGAGTACCTCATGATCCGATTCTATTTACCTGGGCCCGTCACGATCTTTCAGAGTATTTCCAACTTTTGAAAGCGAACGCATCCTCAGCAAACCAAGGCACCAAGGGTTTGAAACAATACAATATCACTAGCAGAAGGTAGGGTGGCATCGTCAACTATTCCCTAAAGCCATCATTTGGCTTTGCTAACATGATGACAGATGATTTGGGACACTCTCACTCGCATCTGCATAGGTCCGCGCACAGGTCCGCAAGTCGGCGCCCCAGAGATGACCCTCCAGCTGCTACAGAAGACTTCAGGCCGGATCAGCGGTACAAGGGCTACGCATCGAGCGACTACGCGAGCAGCAATCCCTGGTACGGTCAGCCTCGGTCATCACCAGTTTTTGGTCTAGCAGAGTCCCTTCCGCACACGGTGAGGCATGGCCAGGCCAGTCGGCATGACAAGCGAGAACGCGAGGCACGCTATAAACGTGAACCCGATGTCGAGAAGGGAGAAGGGCGTGGAGAAGGACAGGGAGAAAGTTGCCAGAGAGGCAGACACAGGTAAAGCAAAAGGACTGGAAAGTTTTGTGATCGGTCTAAAGCTTATTCAGATTCATAGGGAAGCTGCGCGATTGGGTCCGCAAGATTCTACGGCGGAAGAGAAATTAGATAGGGTATCATCCGAGAAGCGACGCTCCAAATTGGATGCCGATGAACCTCAACCGCCGAAAATAAGACCAGAGAACAAAGAAGAAGCTGCAGAAGAGGGAAAAAAGGGAAAAAAGGGAAAAAAGGAGGAGGAGGAGGAGGAGGAAGAAGAAGAAGAAGAAGAGAAGCGGCAAGCAAGCTATGACCGGCATAGGAATGCTTTTGCTCAATTTAGAGCACGATATCCGGACATACTCGCTGAGTATCTTGCTGTGTGTGAACAGATCCAGGGGATGCATGGCGCTTCGTTACTGACCTACATCGCAGACAACAATCGCAGATAACAATCGCAGTTTGCGGGAACCTCAGTTACAGGTTCAATCGGTCCTACGGCACCTTCGAGACCCTGTGCTGGACGAATGGCCTCGCAACAATGGCTGGAATATACCTGGCAGGTGGGGCGGCGCACACATAAACCCCATTATTTCCATCGTGCTGGCAGTGTATCGTGGCTTCCCATGGCATAAAGTATGGGTCTACATGCTGGCTCAGCTGTTCGGCTGTCTCACGGCTGGCGGGCTCGCATATTCGGTCTATCACGATGCCATCCACACCATAGACCCAGGGTTGACAAGCTTGACCAGTCAATCATTCTATACGATCCCCAAGACGGAAATCAGTGTTTCCTCGGCTTTTTGGAGCGAGTTTATCTCCATTGCAACATTTGTCTGCATCGTCTTTGCCCTCGGGGATGACCAAAACTCTCCGCCTGGTGCTGGTATGAATGCTCTGATCATCGGATTCGTAACCACATTGATCGGTCTCACTTTAGGTTACAATACCGGACCATGTATGAACCCGATGAGAGACATGGCAACTAGACTCGTCGCATTGATGGTTGGCTATGGACGGCAAACTTTCCGAAACTGGTGGTGGATAGGCGGCTGCTGGGGAGGAGACTTGGCGGGCGCCATGACTGGAGCGACGGTGTACGATATCTTTATCTTCACTGGCGCTGAAAGCCCGGTCAACTACCTATGGCCGACAATGCAGGAGGTTGTGGACAAGCTTAAGCGCATCGTGAGACTCAGGTGGAAGGGATAGAATGGGATCGTGCTTCCAGCACAGACGAGGAGCTTCTCCTGCAGGGAAGTTATGGTCTAGGTCTTCCTGTGGGCGGCATCGGATAAGGCTACCTTGAAGACTTGGAGTGGCGAAGGATAGGTCTATAGTTGTTTCTGTGTCTCTGGCCCTGAACGAATTAACCATTTTAGAAGGCATGAACGTGGACTCTAGATTGAGTGGACGTGGATTCCGGCACAGAGTGGATATGGGCTCCCAGACTCCCAGAGTGATGTTGACTCCGCGTGTCGGCTGGGGGTTACGGGCAACTGTAATTTATATAGGGCGACGTGCAATCCGTGCACGACACCATTACTAGCTCCTACAAGGCTACAATATCTACTTTGTTGAAATATTATCCTAGAAAGAGCAATGCATTTCTTGCCTTCGCATTTGCGTTACAGTACAGGAAAACCTACTACAGAGGACAAAAACCTATACTAAGGCACAACATGGCAAGACGCCCAAGGTTACTATATTCCTCCATGAAAACGAAGCATTATTCTTAAGTATTTAGTCCCTTTGCGGTCTTGGTTATTATGAATAATAGTACTTACCTTTAGATTCGGGCTATTACCTAAAAGCCACGCCAAGCCTGTCAAGGTCCGCTGCGGCGGCTCCTCGGAACCCGACGATGGAGCCCCTCCCAATATCTTTATATTCTGTACCGCCTTCCGCTCCAGCTGAGAATGTGCCATCTTTATCGGTTTCAAAGTAGATACTATCGACACGTGATCCAGCCCGGATTGTCATCAGCTTCACTTTCTCGTCCTTCGCGAAGGTGTATTTGAGTTTGTCTGGCTCCTTCCCCTCCATGCCGTGTATTTCTCTTGGGCCTTCTCCATCAAACCAAGTGAGCCTGATCCCTTTAATGACATATGACGGGCCTTGGTTTTCGTAGCCAGTCCATACCTCGATTTTCTTCAGGGTCGAAGCAGCGGAGGGGTAGTCTGAAAAAGGAACACCGCCACCGCCGCCGTATTCCGGGGGACTGTCTTGGATTGCAGCCATATTTGGCGACCTGCAGACTTGCAGTTCTTATCTTTTATCTTGAAGAAATATCTTTCAATAGTAGGACATAGTAAGGCAACGAGATGAAGTAGAATTTAGTGTTATCATGGGGGATAGGTTTGTGCATTATATATCTACTCAGCGGCAGGTGAGAGTTATTTTGGGTTTCAATATATTACTGATTATTTGTTATTTACGTCACTACTTATATAACCTCGCTGTTTGCATACCTTGTGTAACAGTACTTTAATTGTGAACAGAGAAGAGGGGGTTCTCACTTACATCAACTACTTAAGAATCTCAACGTCACCCTACAAGCTACGCTTGGCTAGAGTTGGGGTCAGGTTGTTGCGGGTTATGGACACGAATCATGGGCGGTCAGCCTATCTAGGGAGGCGGTCACCCTAGATACTGCCTATCCTTATCACTGTTTTTAGATTACCACATCTTAGGCCTATTAATGTACTGTTGAACGTAGTATGAAACTGTACCACTTAGTAGAACAGTGGGGGCGGCAAAATAGGTGTCTGAGAGTCTCGAATAGTCCATTGATAAGCCTAAATTTTGCTGAATATGCTTGGATGCGGTCCAAACTACTATGACACAACGTCGACTGGAGGCTACTTCCAGCCTATCAAGTCAATGTTAGTATAGATGGACGGGTGTCCGATTGTGTGTTAAGATGAAATAATTCTAGCTGCATGCTAACGATAGCCAGCGCCATTTTGGGCGGTCCTCGTCATGGCAAGACCATGGGTAAGGCGTGCGGAGAGAGCGGTCCAGTACAGTCCGCGTTCTGCAAACAGCTCGATATTGCAATTCGAGCTTCCCAGGGGCAAGATTCGTTAATCAGAAACGCCTCACTCGCTGCATTACTCATAGGATGGTTCTTTCAAAAGTCTAATATGGAATCGCATCCTGAAGTTGGCTTAGCCAACAGAGAGGGAGGAAAATAAAGAAATATCGGCTGGTTCGGAAGTGTATAATGCTCCAACTTCTGACCCATTCCAACAATCATAAAACGCATCTATGTCCATACGATTAATTTCGGATATGGTCGCCGACCCATTATCTACCGTGAGCGATCATCCAATGATGTGGAAGTATTGGGGCCTAGAAGCAGTAAGTCCCTTTTACTGTACTGTAGATCTCGAGAGCATCATTGATGATGATGACCGGATGAATTGACTTGGAGGCACTAGACGAAAGTACGTTCTCTGCCATTTCAACCATACAGCCGCCATCATTACCGCCGCAGCCATAATGTCCATCAGTCTAAAAAATGTGACATCATGCACGCTGAGCTACTCGCACAAGAGAAGGCAGATAAAGAGCGACTACTCAATGCTGCACAGCGACGAAAGCTCCAGAATCAAAGAAGCGCATCCAAATTAATGGCCACTCACGTTGGCTGATGCTACTTACAATATTAAGGGGTGCAATACAAAGTTCAAGCAGCGCTACGTAGGGCGCGCAAAAGCATGACGTAAAAGCTCGCAGATGAGGATAATGAGGCCCAGGTGAAGGAAGTTATGCTTGCGGAAGGTCATTTAGAGCTTGGTGATGATGGTAAGCCTTCTCTTTGGGCAGATACGAAGGGGGAAAGTAATGTTTCAAATTACTTATATGGTTTGTGTGTTTGTTCTGTGCGTTTGTTCTGGCCAAGCATCAACGAACCCAACTTGATATTAATTAGAATTAGTTTGACATTATAGTGGTATGATTTCAGAAGAAGTGCGTCCAAACCTAGCAAAGAAGCGCAGAAGCCACAAGAGCACGAAAGCCAGCCAGCGGAAACCTATTACATTCTGTCCGAGAGCAGCGTTGCCTTGTTTGTGTGGAGTAGTCTCTCGTCTGACAGAAAATGAGGGGCTAGTTGGTGTTGAGGGTTTTGACAATACTCTCTTAAAGATGTGGACCAAGCTCAACCCCTGAGTTGTTGCTGAGCGGTCTTCGGGGGGGATGACGCGGATGTCTGTCTCTGAATCTGGCTTAAGATGCTTCCGTTGGAAGGTCCAATCTCATCATACTCTGTATTAGTTGATAGGTCCGATCTGTCAAGATGCTCTGGTCTTCAATGGTCAAAATCTTTATCTAAACTTTGCCTAGTAGAAGGGTGATCACTGTTAAGAGCAGTTGTCTAGATTAGAGTTGCATAACCGAACCGCAAAAATCAAATCCAACCCTCACCGAACCTGTAGCGGGTTGGGCTCGGGGCCTAGCCTAGGGAATTGCTTTGGGTTTGAGCTTCCTACCCCAGGCCTAATTAGAGTTGCATTCGGTCCGAGTTCAGGTGAGTTCAAAACCAGTTGGCACCGAACCGCATGCGATTTCGAGTTGAAATTCTAGAAATCGGATCCAAACCTGATCTGTTCTGATTTATTCAAGTTTCACTACAGAATCCACCACTAGGCCTAGATAGGCAGTCATTAGCCTATCTAGTTGGGCAGTATGCCTAGGCAATATCAAAAATTTTAATAGTTTTCAGAATTCAATTTCTCCTATCTTAGGTCTATGCCTAGGGCCTATTAAATATGCCTAGATAAAATCATCGAACAGAGGCGGGGGGTGCGGTGCGACAGGGGTTAGGGCCAGGCGTTTTTCCCCGGGTCAGGTGGCCCAGGGGCTGGGAGCCACACTCTAATAAAGTTCTCACCCTTTCAGGGCGAAACCACTCCATCTCACTAACCTCTTATCCTCTAAGAATACAACCATTTCTCTGGATTCCTACTAACCTCTCACCCTCTAAGGGTGAAACCACTTCTCTAACTAGTCTTTAATTCGAAGTCCGTCATCAATCCAGAGCCGGCCAAAGAACGTGACCTGATGACATGACATACGCTAGCTACCGTACACTGTGCCATCCCATCCCTCCATCTCATACTGTGAGACCCCGCGCCAGGCTGCGTGAGTTCCCAACTGAGGCAAAAGACCTACTATGTTTGACCCCTATGGTTAAACATGCCTGGCTTCCATATATATATCTTTAAGGCTTACTGGATGCCTCTAACACATACCGTGTCAGCCTTGCTCTTTGGCATACTGGATTTCCGTAGGTTCTATAGCTAAGTTGAACTCGAAGGTTACAATTGAACCATGGTGGATGACGTTCCCAGGACCTAAATACAGTAGGAGAAATGTCGAGGAAAAGAAGCACTCGGTACGGAGATACTGAACCCTGAGGATTGTAGATTTAGGTTTTCCGGTCTAGTCCGATCGCTCGGGATAGAGCGGAGGTAGTCGTAAAGGAGGTTGAAATAATTCCCAGGATACAGGTCAGCTGACCTTTACTAAGGAGTTTGGCTAACCAAAGTGGGTCAGCTGACCTATATAACATAAATATAAAAGCTTATCTGACCTTTTACATCTAAATCTAATTTTATGTTCTATAATAATTTTTGCTATTTCTTATAGCCTTAACTAGTTCTAAACTAGTTCATAATGTCATCCTTAGATAACTTTTATTATCTTAAGAATAATTAAATAGTAATTAATTCTCTTATTAATTTATCATCTCTTATACCTGAATCAGAGTATTGTGATATCGACCAGCATGTATATGACTTCAGGGAAGTCTATTAGGCGTGCAACAATATCTAGTGATTAATATTGCCATTTATGTAGTTAGTTAGACTGTACATTCATTCTTAGCCTAGGTTAAAATACTAAAAGAAGACTGGAATCCCTCAAAGTTAAGGAGGTATATATAGGGCAGCTACAGGCCTACTAGAGTTGCATAACCGAACCGCAAAAATCGAATCCAACCCTCACTGAACCCGCAGTGGGTTGGGCTTGGGGCCTAGCCTAGGGAATTGCTTTAGGTTTGAGTTCCCTACCCCGGGCCTGATTTGGGTTTGGTGAAAACTATTGGTTTTGATTTCTGTAGTTTTTATGGATTAGGTGAAACCACCTAATCCATTTTAGATAGAAATCACTAATTTCTAGTATTTCACTAATAATTTTGATATCACTAGATAGCCCCTGATCTAGGCTATCTAGTGATATAAATATTAATTTAAAATACTAAGTGGTTGCTAAGATATAGAGGAATAATCATTTTCATCATAGGGTGGTATGAAAGTGGTGTGGATATATATATATATATATAACTAATAGTTAACAACCACTATGGTTTAAAAATGATTTTTTAACCACCCCCCATTCAGCCCTATAGATATTGAATTAAAATTTTAGATATAGATTAGTATAATAATAATTATGATATATTTCATATAAAAATGATAATTTTTGATTAGCATAGTGATATTATGATAGATAATATAGTATTTAATAAGGCATTGAAATTTAAAAACCATCAAAATTTACTAAGGGGTAGTAGTTTAACCAACTTAAAATTAAACTAAATCTAACTATAGTTAGTTAGTAGGGACCTGGCTAGGCCTAGCTAGGCCTAGTAGTGGGTTTTTATGGTGAAACCTGTTAGACGCAGCGAACCTGTACATAGCTGAACTGCAGGGGTCACATGTGTGGCATGTGACCCATAGAGATATCATTAACTGCTAAGGTGCGAGATGCTCACACCTTAGTAATTAGTTCTACTATAAAGGCATTACTACTACCATATTATCTACTATTTAATAGGGAGCATTCTATAGGTGCTCTTATAGTTCTAATCACTCTACTATATTAAGATAATCTAGTAGGAGCACTTTTATATATTTTACTAAAGTAAGATAGTTTCTACTAGGAGCACCCCTAACATAGGATAACTATGATCTAATAATGTAAATATATATATAAATTAATATAGGGGCAGTACCCTAACTACTCTAGAGTATAGTAATATTATTAGGTAGAGATCCCCTTAATTCTTAAGAGAAGATTTCCTAGCTATGTAGAGATGGGTTGCTGAACTAGAGTAGATTAAATATAATAATAAGATACTTAAAAAGCTTAGTGAAACTGTTATATGCATATAGTAAATATAGGGTATATAAGACTAGACTATTACCCTATCTATATAAATTATTTAGGGTGAA